CCAAGTGACATGTACTACACAACACTTACCTTCCTCCCACTGTAAGCACCACTACTCGTCCACGGGATGCCGGAGTCCAAGTGACATGTACTACACAACACTTACCTTCCTCCCACTGTGAGCACCACTACTCGTCCACGGGATGCCGGAGTCCAAGTGACATGTACTACACAACACTTACCTTCCTCACGCTGTGAGCACCACTACTCGTCCACGGGATGCCGGAGTCCAAGTGACATGTACTACACAACACTTACCTTCCTCCCACTGTAAGCACCACTACTCGTCCACGGGATGCCGGAGTCCAAGTGACATGTACTACACAACACTTACCTTCCTCCCACTGTGAGCACCACTACTCGTCCACGGGATGCCGGAGTCCAAGTGACATGTACTACACAACACTTACCTTCCTCACGCTGTGAGCACCACTACTCGTCCACGGGATGCCGGAGTCCAAGTGACATGTACTACACAACACTTACCTTCCTCCCACTGTGAGCACCACTACTCGTCCACGGGATGCAGGAGTCCAAGTAACATGTACTACACAACACTTACCTTCCTCACGCTGTGAGCACCACTACTCGTCCACGGGATGCCGGAGTCCAAGTGACATGTACTACACAACACTTACCTTCCTCCCACTGTGAGCACCACTACTCGTCCACGGGATGCCGGAGTCCAAGTGACATGTACTACACAACACTTACCTTCCTCACGCTGTGAGCACCACTACTCGTCCACGGGATGCCGGAGTCCAAGTGACATGTACTACACAACTTGTACTAACATCCATAATATGGAACTTACATTTAATGAGCGGCCCACCAGCCAATATAAATTAAAATGTATTAAGGAAACAAATTTAAAATCAAAATCACAAAAAACAGACTGAAAATCTCGAATAGAAAAGAAAAGAAACACACACAGGAAGTTCACACACGCAATAATAACTCAAACAGGAAGTTCACACACGCAATAATAACTTAAACAGGAAGTTCACACACGCAATAATAACTCAAACAGGAAGTTCACACACGCAATAATAACTCAAACAGGAAGTTCACACACGCAATAATAACACAAACAGGAAGTTCACACACGCAATAATAACACAAACACGGAACTCAGCAAAAGACAAACCGGAGAGAGAGGAGAGTACTGAAGGAGGTGGGGGCACAACATAGGACCACACCAAACACTGCTATACTCCCAGTCTAATTACCAAGGCGTGAAAGCAAGCGCATTACCCAGATGGGATGAATGACAGGACACGTATTATTAAGGTAGAAAATCCACAGGGCAAATTACCACACAGTTTTACGGAGGGAAAAATATTACGTCCACCCGGGAGAGATTTCTCCCCCCAGACATTGCATCACACACTGGGAAAATATGAACTTTGAAAACTCACCCCACGTAAGACGGAAGGTCTGGGCGACATGGGAGACTTTGGGGAGTGAGTACCCTGGAAGAACACCACGCCAGAGAGAGGAGAGAAGAGGCGTTAGTGTGTGGGCTCCAAGCTGCCCGGCTCTGCATAGCCAAGCAAGAAGCTTATGGCGGGCAAACAATGGTATTTCTAAGGCTAGCACATCATCCAACAGGAAAATGGGGCGGACAAAAAAACTCAAGCTTACCATGCTAAGTAAGAATTGTTCGGAAAAGTGCGTTTTCTTTGAGCAGTTTGAATCAACGTTTTCTGTGAAACTTTACATCAACGGTTTCTACAAAACACGACTTAAACATTACTGTTTACTTTAATACCAAATTAAGATAATCAGTAATATCGGCCACCAGACGAACTGTCTGTTAATATTAGCAATTTGCAAGACGGAAGCCGTCCAGCCCATTTTCCACGGATTATACAGATCTAACATGACTACAGCTGATGCTAACTTGACTTACTAGTTTGTTATGGGAGTAATACATGTATACCTGCCCAAGGTCCTCACACTCAGTAGTTTGACATTTACGTTAATGCTATCAACACTGGCGCCTGTCTTGAGTACTACATACCCAATCAAAGTTTAAGGGGAATTAATATACTTTAGAAGCATTGCAATTAGAAGATAACACTACCCAGGAATATGAACTGTGTTATTTATATATTGCAATAGTAGTAGTAGTAGTAGTATTAATAGTAGTAGTAGTAGTATTAATAGTAGTATCAGTAGTAATAGCAGTAGCAGCACCAGTAGTAGTAGGTGTATTAGTAATACGAATACTAGTAATACTATAGTGGAATAACACTGTAGTAGAGGGAGTGGTAGTATAAGCATGAACAGTCATAGGAAATAGCGAGGTTGTAGTTATAAGGTTAAGACCTCCAGGTGTGTGGCAGGACTACTGGAGGAGCAGCACCCAGAGAGAGCTGGTGACGACACTAGGTGGTGGTGAGGACGGGCAGGACTCACCTTGCTGCTGAAGAGGGAGGACGGCCTGGGGGAGGTGGGCGACCACGGCTCTTGTTGCTGATGACCGCCAGCCACACCCAGCAACACCACGCAGAGAGAGAGAGAGAGAGGGGGAGAGAGGGGAGAGAGAGGGGGAGAGAGAGGGGGAGAGAGAGGGGGAGAGAGAGAGAGGAGAGAGAGAGAGAAGAGAGAGAGAGAGGAGAGAGAGAGAAGAGAGAGAGAGAGAGGAGAGAGAGAGAGAGAAGAGAGAGGAGAGAGAGAGAGAGAGAGGGGAGAGAGAGAGGGAGGGGGATAGAGAGAGAGAGAGGGGAGAGAGAGAGAGACGTTAGTCAGGTTATCACTGGTGGGTACAGGTACAATAAGGTCCACATAATAAAGCCAAGCTTGACAGAGGCGGGGAGGCTTAAGGCAGACGAGGAGTTTTAATGACACTTTCAAAAGGCAGTTCAAAATGGAGGCCAAAGGAGGGGACTTTTGAATACATAACTTAAGCCTATAAGTGGACCAGAAGAGGACGTCTTAACACCAACCCAACCCCGCCTTAAGTAACACGCCCGGCACATTAACCAACAAGGGTATTTTCCTATAGGGATATCATGTTTACTGACGAGGTCGGATGGGGAGTAAACAATGATTTTCCAAAGAGGAAACAGTTGGATCTTCGAACAGCAAATGCAAGAAAAACTTTATAAACAACTGATGGCTAAAAGATATGATGAAAATACACACATAAAAGTTAAAGCCTTAATAAATATAACGGAGTTGGTAGTGTGTGTGTGAGTGTGGTATAGACCTGCAGGCTGCCCTAGTGGTCAACAGGTCCAGAGGCTCCGAGAGACAACTCTGGCCTTTAGACAACACGCATCAGGTCAGGTCACCACGCCAGGCAACGGACACGATAAATAACTAGAAACCCTGAAAACAGTTAAATTAGTAAACCGTTTATAGACTGAACGAACAAATTGTTTACATATTTCAGTCAGACATTTAAGGAAAAATCGTCAACTTTATTCGAATTCGACATTTCTTCAGGACACTTGTGTTGAAGCCGCTGGCGAGGAGCAAGCATCAACATTGTGCTGGAGCCATGAGAGCTCCACCACACGTGGTAATGGTACCATTAATTTAGGCTCGTAACAGTACCTGTAGTTGTTAAACACCATTACTGGCGTCAACAGTGATGATAACAGTCACAAGTAATATGTCGTAGTAGTAGTAGTGGTAGTAGCATTAGTGAAAGAACCAGCAGTAGAATAGTAACAGTAACGAAGCCTAATAATTCCATAAGAGACATTAGCAACACCCGTGCCACCATTATTATTACCATGGGAGAAAACAGTGTGAAACACAATAAAGATTAAAGTAGTAATGGTATGCAGTATAAGGTAACTGACATACAACACACTATAAACAAATATCAACATTTGCACCAGCTGGCAAGAAACCAACAGGAACCGTAACACTAATAACAAGGTAAGAAACAGTGGAGGCAGAGTACCAGCCGTGGCCACAGTCGACGCCTTTCTCTATAAACATTCACAATACAAAGAAAACGACGCAAATAGGAATAAATCTAGCGGGAACCATAAGATAAAGTTGACATTCAGACCATCACATGTTGCTGTAGGAAATGGAGAAGAAAATTGATCTTCAAAAACTTTGGAAGAGGACTCGTCTATCGTGTGTGTGGTGTCTGTGGTGTCTGTAGTGTCTGTACTGTCTGCGGAGTGTGTACTGTCTGCGGTGTACACGTCAGACAACTGTGCCGTTGAGGTAGTGTTGAGAGCCGTATCAGTAACATAAAGGAAGAGCTCCATGCAGTCACAGTAACCATGCACGCATTCACGGTACGCCAGGAGGCCTGGTCGACGACCGGGCCGCGGGGACGCTAAGCCCCGGAAGCACCTCAAGGTAAGGTACCACTGCTAACTCCTCCTGAGAAATATTACCAACAGTACTATTACAAGTGCAGCAACACACTACCAAACAATGGTTGGAAATGTCTTTCAATGACACAACTCGTTGTTAACTGTTAGTCACCATAGTTAAGGACCTCCAGGGCCGAGTCGAAGAAGCAGCATCCTCTGTGACGCAACAAGTCATTACTGTTATAAACTGTCACGACTCCCAAACTTAATTACCAAATTACAGGATGCCTTCATACACTGACGGTTGTCAAGGTGACAACGACCATTCACCACGACAAGGAAAGCGGACGTAATACACATGCAAACAGATGAAGATATAATCATACAAAAGTAAGGTAAGGTATTACTCCTACTCCGGTAGGAACAAGTGCCCAGAGAAAGCGTGACCCGGGCCGAGCATGCGCGTTCTGGAAGGGGCGTGCAAAATCCACTCAACTGGAGAGTAGCGGCGGCGGGCGGCGCCAGTTCTTCAGGGAGACACGCAGGACGGACGGACGGACGGAGTTTTAAATGTTCATATTTAAAGTCAAAATACGGGTAGTGCAGGAGAGAATAGTGACACTGAAGGGGATGGGAGGGTAGTGAACAATGGGCGTCATGCAGGACACTGCTCCCTGAGGAGGTAGAGGGAGCAGCACCCACCAAAAACTCACCCCTCGATCTCTCATGAGCACCTGAGACGGCTTCACATTGCTGGGGGACCTCGTGTCCTATAAGACAAAACAAGACACTGCCAGAGGTGGTAACACAGCTGTGAGGCCTCTACAGCAGGGGCTGTGAGGCCTCTACAGCAGGGGCTGTGAGGCCTCTACAGCAGGGGCTGTGGGGCCTCTACAGCAGGGACTGTGGGGCCTCTACAGCAGGGGCTGTGAGGCCTGTACAGCAGGGACTGTGGAGCCTCTACAGCAGGGACTGTGAAGCCTCTACAGCAGGGGCTGTAGAGGCCTCCAGGTCTTCACACGTCTCCGCAGCCAAACAAAAGACATCCAGCTGGACAGATTTTTCAGCTGCCAGCTGGAATGTTAAAATATATAATGTCAGGAAAAGCTAATTAAACTAACTGCCAACTTACCGCCGAGCGAGAGTACAAGATGTGTACATTATGAGAGGCATGCAAGGAGAGGATGGGGCGGGCGGGGGACCCTCGTAGATACCTTTTCCTGATTGAGTTTTGAAAGTATAGCTAACCAGCCCACGTGGTCTTAACCACACCTATTATCTCTGATAGATATATCTACTTTCTCTTGTGCCAATATTTACCGATATAATGGACAGTGACACACTGAGAACAATGCCAGAACTTAACAAGCCACAACGCCCTCATTAACAACTCGGCATTACGGTAACCGCTCAAGTGGCAACCCGCTCTCGCACAAGACAGTACATATATGACTTATTACTTGTAGTCACTATTTGGCTGATTAATAAGTACATATGTGGTATATGCCAAGTTATATTGTGATTTTAAGGTAAAAACTCTTCCTATAGATTCGCTAAACACCAGTTTTCATATTAGGAATTTCTTTTTCAGTTTTATTAAACAATAGAGATTTTACACAATATTTGACAATATCCTGAGTTACTTTACAATTTATTTAAATAATTTGGCTTTGTTTTATTATTTTTATAAAACTGTAATATCAATATAGGTATAGGTTAAGTAATAATTGCAATTAAGAAGCAATAAGATGCTTATCTTAACATATTAAGAAGGCTAGGTTAGGTCGGTGTTTTCTATGAAGCTTTTCAAGGTAAACTAAAATATTCACAATAAATTAGTATGTCACATATGCACTTATTAATAAGCCAATATTGACTACAAGCAAGTGCGAGAACGGGTTGCAACTGGACAACTGAAGCTTTAGCAACAGTGGACAAATACCTGACACTCTCCCAGACACTTCACATATTTGACCGTCACGGCTATCTGACGGACAGTTAGTGATTGTTCTACAAAGTATCTGGCAGACAGCTATTGATTGTTCTATAAAGTATCCGGCAGACAGCTATTAATTGTTCTATAAAGTATCCGGCAGACAGCTATTGATTGTTCTACAAAGTATCTGGTAGATAGCTATTGATTGTACCGTAAAGTATCCGGCAGACAGCTATTGATTGTACCGTAAAGTATCCGGCAGACAGCTATTGATTGTACTGTAAAATATCCGGCAGACAGCAATTGATTGTACCGTAAAGTATCCGGCAGACAGCTATTGATTGTTCTATAAAGTATCCGGCAGACAGCTATTGATTGTACTGTAAAGTATCCGACAGACAGCTATTGATTGTTCTATAAAGTATCCGGCAGACAGCTATTGATTGTACTGTAAAGTATCCGGCAGACAGCTATTGATTGTACCGTAAAGTATCCGGCAGACAGCTATTGATTGTACCGTAAAGTATCCGGCAGACAGCTATTGATTGTACTGTAAAATATCCGGCAGACAGCTATTGGTTGTACCGTAAAGTATCCGGCAGACAGCTATTGTTCTATAAAGTATCCGGCAGACAGCTATTGATTGTACTGTAAAGTATCCGGCAGACAGCTATTGATTGTTCTACAAAGTATCTGGCAGACAGCTATTGATTGTTCTACAAAGTATCTGGCAGACAGCTATTCATTGTTCTATAAAGTATCCGGCAGACAGATATTGAATAAACTATCACGTGGGCAAATAATGCATATATCTCAGTCACAGCCTCGCTCCTGTGCCAGGTAAGTCCACTACGGGCTCACCATAGCCCGTGCTACTTGCCCCGCTCCTGTGCCAGGTAAGTCCACTACGGGCTCACCATAGCCCGTGCTACTTGCAACATTTGGTTCCCAGTAGCTGAACCAAAAAGAACCATAACAACAGGAGCAGCGTGTAACAAAGTGGCCGCACATCAGAGTTGCAACACTTTGTAACATGGACCGCTGAGGCTGCTGGCACTACTGGGGTTACCGGGATTACTGGGCTGCTGGGAGTACTGGGATTACTGGGTTGCTGGGAGTACAGGTAATTACCAAATATTCCCACTTGGTGTAGGGTAAATACTTCATCACTACTCTGGATTAGTTAAGGACTACTGGACATTACTACTTGTCCGGTTGCTGGATATATTAGATACCGGTTAGGATAACAGGAGCCGCTCAGTATAACAGGAGCCGGCCGCTGGGACATTACTAATGTTAGAGACACTTTTTTACTAGAACAAAGTGTCGTAAATAAGTATATTGTGAGACATGCAGTAGTTACAACAATGTGAGCAAATGGAATTATCAGGGGGATAGCGCCAAGCCATTACGACTATATAGCACTGGGATGGGGTCAGGATAAGGATTTAGGATGGGGCGGGGGAAGGAATGGTGCCCAACCACTTGGACGGTCGGGGATTGAATGCCGACCTGCATGGAGCGAGACCCTCGCTCTACCGTCCAGTCCAAGTGGTCAACAATGTGAGTGAAGAGGTTTAACGTGGGTGGATGGCTAATGAGCGGATTAACGTGGGTATATCTAATGAGGGGATTTACTATGCGTGGCTGTAGCGATGAAGGATTTAACGTGTGGGATGGCTGGTGGTACAATACAAGGTGTGGGATGGCTGGTGGTACAATACAAGGTGTGGGATGGCTGGTGGTACAATACAAGGTGTGGGATGGCTGGTGGTACAAGGTGTGGGATGGCTGGTGGTACAATACAAGGTGTGGGATGGCTGGTGGTACAATACAAGGTGTGGGGATGGCTGGTGGTACAATACAAGGTGTGAGGATGGCTGGTGGTACAATACAAGGTGTGAGGATGGCTGGTGGTACAAGCAAGGAGGGAGCATGAAGCAAGAGGTGCCGGGGCCGGCCACTTACCCTGTGCAAGAACAAGCGGGCAGGCGTCGGGGAGCTTGCGTCCTACAGGAGCCGTGAGGAAGGAGAGAGAAGCTTAAAAAAATGAAGCACCATCACCTTAGCTTAAGCTTACTCGCTTAGCGATGATTATCTCTAGTATTAGCAATTACTCTATACACAAGAGCCTAGTTTTAGTGCGGCTCATCATTAGCTTTTCCTAGTTACTTGTTTGTTAATTCTAAGCGTAGGATATTATCAATGAGTTTACTTCCACTATGAAGCTCGAGCAGCACTATAGCTATGGTTGCTGCGTTAAGAGTATAGTTACCCCGGGGTTATCCTTACTATTATCATACACCATACTCACCTATATTACTCTTATTCTTATCACTTATTATTGTAACTTAGTCAAGCTGGTGAACTTAAATTTATACTGAATGATGCAATAACAAAGAGGATTCCATCATTTTATATATATATATATATATATATATATATATATATATATATATATATATATATATATATATATATATATAAATATATATATATATATATATATATATAAATATATATATATATAATGTGTGTAAATCACGAAAAAAATTAACATGATGAATAATATGACTGATCACGAAGGAAAATGATTCAGGAAATTCATTATGTACTTTCGTATTACTCAATACATCTTCATAAGGATTAATTAATACGTAATTATTACATGCAGGTGTGACGATAAGAGGTGGTAACTCTTACAAGGACCGGCTATAGTCCTGCATTCTCATTGTCTGACACAGTAGATGTGGTGTAAGCTGCCAGTTCTCTCTCTCTGACGAAGGAAGTACCTAAATTGGCTGTTGATAACTGGATTTAGATTTTTAGGTCTAGTGCTTTTATGTCCAATTTTCACTGTACCTGTTCATTATTTCGGCGTTGGTGGTCAGAATCGTTCTGGTGGTGGTCAGGTTGTGTACATAAAGTATGAGATTTTTTAACGAGGCCTTGATGTTTGTGCAATGATAGGTGCCTAATAAGACATATTATTGTCCTGCTCATACATTAAAAGTACTGGGGCCTGGCATTCCTCAGGTGGACACGTATCAACATTAGTCTCTTTAATGACGTTTCTTTTCGTGTCAGGGAAGTTTTATATTAGCATATTGGCAGTCACCTTACTCTTGTAGTAAATGGGGAGGTAACTCTGTTGTTCAGTGTTGGAAGAGAACACACATGGTACACAACACACATGGCACACAACACACAGCCGGGCCATCACAAGCGAGCTCACCAAAAAACAGCAGCAATGGGAGGATAAACATAGCACAAGCACTTCACATTAAACATTCCCATCCACTCCTGAGGAGCGAGCTTACACCCAGGTACGTCTTATCAACAAGACCAAACAACTATAAGTTTGAATTCCCCTTGCTGTCCAAGACAACCAATGAAAATGCAGGCGCAAATTACTCTGCCATCTCTCAACAGAGTTTCCACCTGTGTTTGCAACAAAATACTGTAAGATTCTGAGATAATAATATTATTGCACAAATCAGATGTTAAGCTTAATATGAAAACTTCAGTAGACACGGTGTGGCTGTCGTGGCGCCTTACTCCTACGTCTTGGGGTCGGAATATACACATTTCTCCGCATTTTCTTACATTGAACTATCGTTACCGAAAATGTTTTAGTTTATATGAAAATAATTGAGGCACGTGTTGGGGAATATATGACCAAATAAATCTATGCTTAGTGGAAACTTGCCACTAAATACCAATCACTACTTTAAAGAAAGGACGAGAACTCATTATAGAAGGGGCGCTGAACACGTTCGACCAGATACCGTATAATCCCAAATAGGTTATGTACATGTAGGAAATAACAGTTATTAATTAGTAAATATAAGTGATGAGGGCGTAGCGGTATTATAAGATATCAACACACTGTAAACACTCTTGGTGGGACTCAATGCCCATCTTGTGTCAGATTCAGCAAGTCTGGTACACACTCCTCGCCTTCATATTATATCCTGCAACCCGTCCTCATACTAAATGAATCTATATTTGTAAGTGCTGGATAAAAAGAGTACAAGATGAATGTTCTCAAAAGGATAATGAACAATTATTAGTATTAATAGACATCAACTTCAGTTCAACTACAAAACCATATATATATATATATATATATATATATATATATATATATATATATATATATATATATATATATATATATATATATATATATATATATGTGTGTGTGTGTGGATTGGTAAATGGCGGTCAGCACACTTATGTACCACCAGGCACATATATGGGAGGCGTGTCACATGTTGGGAACGGGCTGCGTACGGATACCATCAGCGGATACAAGTCCCATCCAACACAAGACGCTTTGCCAACAGATTGTAAAACCTAGCTAACGTTATCCAACCGGACCTAACCTTATCCAACCCGGACCTAACCTTACCCAACCGGACCTAACCTTACCCAACCGGACCTAACCTTACCCAACCCGGACCTAACCTTACCCAACCGGACCTAACCTTACCCAAACCGGACCTAACCTTACCCAACCGGACCTAACCTTATCCAACCCGGACCTAACCTTACCCAACCCGGACCTAACCTTACCCAACCGGACCTAACCTTATCCAACCGGACCTAACCTTACCCAACCCGGACCTAACCTTTCCCAACCGGACCTAACCTTACCCAAACCGGACCTAACCTTACCCAACCGGACCTAACCTTACCCAACCCGGACCTAACCTTATCCAACCCGGACCTAACCTTACCCAACCGGACCTAACCTTATCCAACCGGACCTAACCTTACCCAACCCGGACCTAACCTTACCCAACCGGACCTAACCTTATCCAACCCGGACCTAACCTTATCCAACCCGGACCTAACCTTACCCAACCCGGACCTAACCTTACCCAACCCGGACCTAACCTTAACCAACCGGACCTAACCTTACCCAACCGGACCTAACCTTATCCAACCCGGACCTAACCTTATCCAACCCGGACCTAACCTTACCCAACCCGGACCTAACCTTACCCAACCGGACCTAACCTTATCCAACCGGACCTAACCTTACCCAACCGGACCTAACCTTATCCAACCCGGACCTAACCTTATCCAACCCGGACCTAACCTTACCCAACCCGGACCTAACCTTACCCAACCCGGACCTAACCTTACCCAACCGGACCTAACCTTACCCAACCGGACCTAACCTTACCCAACCGGACCTAACCTTACCCAACCGGACCTAAGCTTATCCAACCCGGACCTAACCTTACCCAACCGGACCTAACCTTACCCAAACCACCCTAAGTTGAGAGAAGGAGCGTTGCCTAACAGTGTTGTACAAGACGTGACCATCCCCACGCTACCAAATAAGTGTGCACTCACCCGTTCTTTCTGCGCCAGCGGAGAGGGCTTCATAGGCGTCGGTGACAGGGGGTCCTGGCAGAGGGAAACACTCGCATAAACAAAAGTCTCAAAAAAAGGAAAATTAAATAAAACAAAGGTAAAATAATTAAATGGATGTAAATATAGATTAAGTTGAGCAATGAGCATTCTGGACAAGAGAGCTTAAGTCTTTTGCTTACTCTTACTATGTCCTGAAATATACGTTGATCCTCCACAACCTAATTCTTATTAGTCATTAAAGACTAATTATATTATATATTTATATTTATATTATCAAATATATATAAATAATTTATAGGATATTTATAAATATCAAATATATGCTCGTATACTCGAAACTGAAGATTAATGTAAATAAAGTATACCCTGGGCGCTATAGTCTCAGCTGGGTACACTAGAGTTTACTAATCATCATCTCCGGTAGGCATTAAGGTATATTTTATGGTTAGTGGAGAGACATATTATGGTTGTAATTACCGGCCATAGCATACTTTACCTTATACCTGATAGGATGACTTAATATATGATGATAATTATTGCGAGTATACCTCCCTCCCAGGACCTGTACACCTCCCCCCACCCCAGGACCTGTACACCTCCCTCCTCCCCCCTAGGACCTGTACACCCCCCCCCCCCCGGACACACACACTGGTGTACACATACAGAGGATGACACAGGTGGTCCAGCGTGTAGACTTACCCTGTCGCTGTAGACGAGAGGCGAGGGCCGGGACGGTGACCAGGGCTCCTGAGGGCAGGGCAGGGCGAGGGTGGACAGGGGCACAGGACAAAGAAAAATTAAGATTAAACCTTAAATAAAACAAGAGAGTAATTCAAGGTGTCACTTTATTATAAATAAAAACTATAGCAATATCATGATATTCACTGCATACACTCCATCCTGCACTCCGACAACCCGCTCTCGCACAAGACAGCACATATATGACTTATTGCTTATAGTCACTATTTTGCCTATAAATAAGTACATATGTGACATATTCCAAGCCATATTTTTTCAAGGCACTAACTTTTCCTCTCAGTTTTATTAAACAATAGAGGTTTTATACAAAATTTGACAATATCCTGAGTTACTTTATAATTTATTTAAATATTTTAGTTTTGTTTTATTTTTATAAAACTGTAGTATAAATATAGGTATAGGTTCAGTACTAATTGTAATATCTTAACATACTAAGAAGGTTAGGTTAGGTCGGGGTTTTCTATTCAGCATTTCAAGGTAGAGTCAAATATTCACAATAAATTAGTATGTCACATATGCACTTATTCATAAGCAAGATATTGACTATAAGCAAGTGCGAGAACGGGTTGCAGAGTGGCAACAGTACATATACTGACTAACGCCGACCCAAGTCAGTATTTGACTTGTATATCTGACAACACACACATACACCATCAATCTTTTATACAGAGTAATAATAAACGCTTTTTCTCATACATAAATTTTAATTAATATATATCATATATGCATATAGATTTATGCATATTATATAGTTAGGCCTAAAGAAGGTCGTGTAGGTGTTTCAGTTAGGTTGATTAACAGTGTTGCCAGCACAGACGGCAAGTGAGTGATGAAAAGGACCTAACCTAACCCATTAAAAATTATAGACAAAAATATAGACAAAATTATATATAATAACAACAATTTATATTTGAGAAAAGTTTTTTCAGTTACACAGTATGTTGAAAATTATATATGTCTTTAGAATCAGTCACAGCCTGGGCGATCACAGCCTGTGGACAAGTTGATAATCAATCCATGCTCTAGCCCCCCCCCCCCCCCACCTCTCCCCTTTCCCATGAAGTGGAAAATACTTTAAAAAGTATTAAAAGTACTTTAACAATTACTTTACACAGCCATCGTGGGGTGAGTGGCAGGTCTCGTGGTTGATGGAGCCGCTCTTCTCTTAGTATTAATGTACATCAACCTATCCATTCTCAATTGTATCCCACCCACACAAAAAATTATTTAGTAATGTCAAACTATTTAAGTTTGTTAAGGATGAGGATTCAGTGTTGTTGTGTACTGATGGGACGGGAGGTGACTGTGTCAGTATAAACAGTTTGGCACCTTAGTATTTTTGGTATATTTATAGTCAAGTTTTTAAAGTAAATAAAAAATTAAATAAATAAACCGTAAATTCATATAAGAGCTTTTGTAATATTTGAATTAGTTTTAATTATATTTTGTTTTAATGAAAAATGTCATAAAATATATCATTAATACATAGATAGTCAATACACACACACACACACACACACACACACACACACACACACACACACACACACACACACACACACACACACATCACCACAAACCTTACTGAAAAATCTATTAATACAAAATCTAGTAGAAAAATATATTAATTAATGAGAATAACCGAATCAACAGCTGTTAAAATACACCCATTGTTAAACAACAATTATGTTATAACTTGAGGCATAAGGTGTGATCCGCCAGTGTCAAACATGTCCCAAATATGTTAGAAACATGATAAGAACATGTCTTGAACATGTTAATAACATGTTCGGAACATGTCCGGAACACGAGTGCTGCCAGCAATAAAATCATTGTTGCTATTCAAACTGACAGTGTTAAAACCCTCACAGTTACTTAGGTTTAATTGCCAAGCAAAAAAATGGAAAAAATGCAGCGTAAAAAACTGGGCAGTTACGTATGATTATCTAAATAAACTCCTGTGGTATTGTTAAATAACACAACTAATGGTGCTTGTCATGAGTACTTAGCTATCAACACATTGACGCCAGGATTCATGACGCATCTACGCAACCATTTACGAAACCTGTACATCTTTCCTCGACCATAAAGGCTTTATTTACATTTATTAAATATTGTATAAGCTCCGAAGCGCTGCCAGGTTGTTTACAACAATAAACATAGAGTGTGATGTTTGGAAGTTGGTGATGTGTTTAGTATATGTAAACATCAGAAATCACAATAGCGTGATGCATCAAATGAATAAATCCACAAGGGCCGTGACGAGGGTTCGAACCTACGTCTGACAAGATCCCAGACGCGCCTTAATCGACTGAACTACGACATGGTATAAGAATTGCAACCGGGAAATCAACCTGACCTAGCCGGTCGGTCGAGCGGACAGCACACTGGACTTGTGATCCTGTGGTCCCGGGTTCAATCCCAGGCACCGGCGAGAAACAATGGGCAGAGTTTCTTTCACCCTATGCCCCTGTTACCTAGCAGTAAAATAGGTACCTGGGTGTTAGTCAGCTGTCACGGGCTGCTTCCTGGGGGTGGAGGCCTGGTCGAGGACCGGGCCGCGGGGACACTACAAAGCCCCGAAATCATCTCAAGATAACCCTCAAGATAACCACGGATCCTGCAGCCTCTCCGAGACACAAACCAGGTTTTTACACAATTCCCCCCCATGCACCCCGAGCTCTGCCAATAAGCTATTCTACCTCTCCCCCCTTACTTCATTACACCAATTACAATTCTTATACCATGTCGTAGCTCAGTCGATTAAGGCGCGTCTGGGATCCTTTCGGACGTAAGTTCGAACTCTCGTCACGGCCTTTGTGGATTTGTTCATATGTAAACCAAACCGCTGTGATAAACATGTACATGTTTCTTAAGTGGAGGAGTAAATGCTTGGTGACTCCTGGCCCCGTGCAACCATCCCAGTAATGACCTAAGTCAACAAATACACAAGTTAACAACATCGTTTGTAAACGTCATTACATTCTTGCAATGTCGTAACAACGTGACAATCAGCTGCTGTAGTGACTGTACGACCGGTTGTATGGTGACAACTACCTGTGGAGCAACACCAGGCTCAGGGACGACTCGTCTCGTCTCATTATATAGGCCTACACTGGAGGCCTACAGTACTAGTGTGAGACGCGCCTGTGTGGATCACAGTAGTTCCCGGTGACAATGACTAACTACAGCACACTAGTTATAATCATGTGACTCACAAATGGTGTCGTTACACCTGCATTCAAGTCATTTGTCAACACAGATGTTAAGTGTACATTTACTGTTCTAATATATGACATAGATATCTTACGCAACTGTGATGTCATTGTACGCTAATTAATTGTAATAAAAGTTCTACTTTCATTATTTACATTTGATATAAGTACGATATGATATTCGATATGATATTAGTACGATATGATTACATTTGATATAAGTACGATATCAGTCTCCGTGGTGTAGTGGTAAGACACTCGCCTGGCGTTCCGCGAGCGCTTAGTCATGGGTTCGTATCCTGGCCGGGGAGGATTTACTGGGCGCAAATCCTTAACTGTAGCCTCTGTTTAACGCAACAGTAAAATGGGTACTTGGTTGTAACAACGATTCTTCGTGGGGGTCGTATTCCAGGGAACAGAGGATTAAGGACTTGTCCGAAACGCTACACGTACTAGTGGCTGTACAAGAATGTAACAACTCTTGTATATATCTCTAAAAAAATATATGAGAGGTGGAGACGGTAAGTTGACTCCGTTCACGCTACACTCACCTACATGTAACTTACATAAGTTAAAGTGGCATATATTGTGTGTTCTTCATGTTAGTTCTAGTGTAGTCAAGCAACTGAAGGAGAAAGATAAGACATATAGGCCCATTTGTTCAGGTACAATGGAACATGACCCAACTGCAACAATGGTCAACAACTATTGAACATCATTGATATGTAACTTGATAATATCGATATGTAACTTTATAATATCGATATGTAACCTTGAAGCAGATCTGCAACCTTATCTCTCCCTTATCCCCCCCCCTCCCCAGCCCACGTGTTTGCAACAGGTTAAGTTCCTGCATCACCAGTACGGGTCTTGTTCAATCACCACCTTTCTAATGGTCACCCATTGAACTAACAAGACATAAGATTATGGTGAAGCTAATTTGAATGTAGGGAGCAGAGAGAGTATGGGTGAGAGAGAGAGTATGGGTGAGAGAGTATGGGTGAGAGAGTATGGGTGAGTGTATGGGTGAGAGTGTATGGGTGAGAGAGTATGGGTGAGAGAGTATGGGTGAGAGTGATCCGGGTGTGTGTGAATGAACGAGAGGGATGAGTACAGAGAAGGATGTGGTTAAACATGGCAGAGGAGTTTCGGATGTAATGGTGGAGATATAAGACTTCCAACACTCACACTTAGCTGTACGGATGGCCTTATGGGCCACCGCACTCGCCTTCCAAAACAAAACAAAAGAATCAGCCGTCTGCCGGCGGCAGTCTCTCTTCCAAGCTGCACGCTTACAGCGAGCGGACAGCCTGAGCACCGTCCGCACTCCACCAGGGAATGCACTTTCGTGGTCCCCGAGAGGAAGAGCGAGGAATAGAGCGGAGGGCAGCGTCGAAGATGGTGTCATGAAAAAGGAGGAGGGCACGAGGGAGAGGCAGAAGGGAGAGGTCAGAGAGAGCAGCACGGAGGGTAAATAGGTTCCAGTCTGCCTTAGCAAACTGCCACCTAGGGGAAGGAGAGGGGGAGGGTGAAAAGAGCAAAAGGTAACAAGGATGGGGAAATGGTCACCGCCATGGAGGTCATCAAGAACCTGCCACATGAAATCCAAGTAAAGAGACGACGAGCAGAGAGAAAGATCAAGACAGGAAAGGGTGCTAGTCTGAGAGTCCAGATGAGTGGCCTCACCAGAATTCAGAAGAGAGGGGGAAGAAGAGAGGATAAACAGTTCAAGAAGGCGACCCCGGGTGTTTGTCAGAACATCACCACAGAGGGCATGTCGACAATTAAAATCACCCAGCAGGAGCACAGACTCCGGCAAGGAGTCCAGTAGGTGTTTAAGATCGGGAAGAGAAAGTGGGACATTTGGGGGGAGGTAAATGGAACAAACCGTGTATCATTTACGAACAAAGACATGTGCAGCAGAACATTGGAGAAGTGACGGAAAAAGTAGGGGGACAAATGGAACATCAGAACGAATCAAGAGAGCAGAAGAGGAACAGGCCCCAGCAAAAGCCGGGAGAGGGGGTATGGGGGAGAGAAAGGAATAGTCACGGAAGCGACCAGGACGAGCCCCTAGCATCGGCTCCTGGAGACAGACACAAAGGGGTGAAAACTGCAAAATAGGAAGTTGATGACTTCATGGAAATTGGCATAATATCCGCGAATATTCCATTGAAGAATAGACATCGACAACAAGAGAAAGGAGAGCAACAGAGGACAATGAAACAAAGAGGAAAAAGGAACACAGCTCGTTAAAGATGATCAGGATCAGCGAAGTCAAAGTTAGGGGGCATGGGTAAACTGAGTAAGGATGGAGGGAAGGGAGCAGGAGGACCGACCAGAGGCCGACGAGGAGGCGGAAAGGGGGGGGGGGGGGACAAACGAGGGTCAAGGACAGCAGCAGGAGGGAGTAATCAGGAGAGTCAAAGTAGGAGCAAGGTCGGGGCCCAATGCAGTTAGGGCTACAGAGCCCGGTCTTCCAACACAGTCCGACTCGGGGGCTTGATCACCCACCCCACGAGCTCGAGAAGGTATAAGACGAACAGAATGAGTCATAAAATGAGAGGTTAGACTTTCATTCACGAATGTGCCCCCACACCCAACACGGAGCTACAATTAGAGGCAGGACACCCAACAAGAGACATGTTGCCGATTGCCGGGGCCCCCCAGGGGGTGCGTCGTGAGTATACGTCCCACAAACGTCACCTTAAGAGCCGTCAGTCCGTCGAGATCGGGTTCAGTGACGAAAGGAGGATTGACAATAGAAGGGTCCCCTCGCTCGAGACGTTGGGTACTACAGTTCTACGGCTGCAAGAGCATGCCTCCCCAAACACCCGGGCGTCAAAACAAAAGAAGGCCGAAAGAATCATCAAAACAGGCAAAAGGTCGGCGGGAAATGCCAATTAGAAAGGAGAAGAGGGGAGAGAAAAACGAAACATAAGGAAAAGGAAAAGTCGTCCAGCAGAATTCGTGAGGACAGCAGCAGGAGCATTGGGCCACAAAAGGACAGAGGACTATCCCATGGAGCATCACACTCCGGCAGCCGTCCACCAAGCCCTCGCATGGCAACAACGGGCCGGACAGGGAGGGGGTGTGAGTGGTAAGACAGGCAAAGTTTTCAATATGCGCAAATATGCTCAGTTAGCGCCTTGTAATCCATAAGCGTGACATAGCTGTAGTGAGTGAGGACGGGCAGCGCGACGGGCAGCACGACGGGCAGCGTGACGGGCAGCATGACGGGCAGCGCGACGGGCAGCGTGACGGGCAGCGCGACGGGCAGCGCGACGGGCAGCGTGACGGGCAGCGCGACGGGCAGCGCGACGGGCAGCGCGACGGGCAGCGCGACGGGCAGCGTGACGGGCAGCGCGACGGGCAGCGTGACGGGCAACGCGACGGGCGAGGGTGTGGACGACTGGCCACCTCTGGCAGTAAAGGAGGTATGGGCAAGTGACATGACTTTGAGGGAAAGAAATTACAGCCTGGTAATCAAGTGAGGCGACAAAGGGATCAAAGCCAGTCTACATGTTCCCCGGGAAGGAGGTGTGGCCGAACATTTTGGGCACTAAAAGAGATACCAGTAAAACGCTTATTTTCGTGGGGAGAAGTTATGGCCCGGCAGTGAATCTTAATGAGAGAGTTATCGCGGCGTGGCAGCCACTGTGTGTATATGGAGACCTGCTTCACCAAACTCGTATATTTCTGCCCATGTCATAAACACTCCGAAAATATAGGAAAAAAAAACGTTGTGGTCAAAACATTTATCTATTTTTGGCTGAAAGAAGTTACAGTGAACCCGTCTATTACCTTTAGGGGAGGGGGGGGGGGCAGTGTACTAAATAAAGGCCTTGTCCCGTTAAATAACACTAAAGAAGGGGAGCCTTAAGAGCCATAACAGCTTGAGTTCATTCTTTCTTGTCAATAAAATTAACCTGACTTCCCCCGAGAATGATTCGTCCCGTCCCATCCCAAATATCTTATCCTGACCCCCTTCCTAGGGCTATATAGTCATGATGGCTTGGCGCTTTCCCCTGATAGTTCCCTTCCCTTCCCCAGATAATGAACATTTAAATGTAATTATCAAGCACCTGGCACCACTGACAACATGGGTAGACACCATTCATGGTATTATACACACAGCATAAGCATTAACATAATGGGGCTTCAACAGGCAGGTGTGTGTGAGCCAAGAGGCAGGTAGGTAGGTAGGTAGGTGTGTGTGTGTGTGTGTGTGTGTGTGTGTGTGTGTGTGTGTGTGTGTGTGTGTGTGTGTGTGTGTGTGTGTGTGTGTGTGTGTGTGTGTGTGTGTGTGTGTGTGTAAGCCAAGAGGCAGGTGTGTGCGAGTGAGCCAAGAGGCAGGCGTGTGCGAGTGAGCCAAGAGGCAGGCGTGTGCGAGATAGCCAAGAGGCAGGCGTGTGCGAGTGAGCCAAGCGGCGGGTGTGTGCGAGTGAGCCAAGAGGCAGGTGTGTGCGAGTGAGCCAAGAGGCAGGTGTGTGCGAGTGAGCCAAGAGGCAGGTGTGTGCGAGTGAGCCAAGAGGCAGGTGTGTGCGAGTGAGCCAAGAGGCAGGTGTGTGCGAGTGAGCCAAGAGGCAGGCGTGTGCGAGTGAGCCAAGAGGCAGGCGTGTGTGTGTAAGCCAAGAGGCAGGTGTGTGTGTGTAAGCCAAGAGGCAGGTGTGTGCGAGTGAGCCAAGAGGCAGGCGTGTGCGAGTGAGCCAAGAGGCAGGCGTGTGCGAGATAGCCAAGAGGCAGGCGTGTGCGAGTGAGCCAAGAGGCGGGTGTGTGCGAGTGAGCCAAGAGGCAGGTGTGTGCGAGTGAGCCAAGAGGCAGGTGTGTGCGAGTGAGCCAAGAGGCAGGTGTGTGCGAGTGAGCCAAGAGGCGGGCGTGTGCGAGTGAGCCAAGAGGCAGGCAGGTGTGCTCGTACAAGGTAGACAGCAGTATCAGGTAGTTAAGGATAGCGGGTGCCCGGGAAGAACGCGGGCAGGCAGGCTGGCAATGTTTACATTTTATCTTATCTAAAAGTGACTTGGATTTACGTTTGGGGAGTTTAACTTACCCTCTGTCTATGAGTGAGGGGATGAGGGAGACCTCTGAGGGGAGAACTACCATCCTACAACACAACACAACGGGAAAGTTTGTTTTTATATAAGATATATACGTGGAGCATGTGTGTGCCATAACTGAGAATTCACATACATTGTGATATTTTGTGTATGAAAATTATATTATATATATTCAGGCCTGGAATTTCTTAAATTTAATTAAAATATAGGTATAATTAAAATATTACATGTAAGTAAATATATTTGTGTGGAGTTAAAAATGAAAAATTGCTCGTCAGAAGGTAAATGTTGCCATTGTCTATTGTATAACTGCAGCTGTAGCCTCCCCATACAATACCCTGACTGTATCTGTAGCCCCCATACAATACCCTGACTGTATCTGTAGCCCCCATACAATACCCTGACTGTACCTGTGGCCCCCATACAATACCCTGACTGTACCTGTGGCCCCCATACAATACCCTGACTGTACCTGTGGCCCCCATACAATACCCTGACTGTACCTGTGGCCCCTATACAATACCCTGACTGTATCTGTAGCCCCCATACAATACCCTGACTGTACCTGTGGCCCCCATACAATACCCTGACTGTATCTGTAGCCCCCATACAATAACCTGACTGTACCTGTGGCTTCCATACAATACCCTGACTGTACCTGTGGCCCCCATACAATACCCTGACTGTATCTGTAGCCCCCATACAATACCCTGACTGTACCTGTGGCCCCCATACAATACCCTGACTGTACCTGTGGCCCCCATACAATACCCTGACTGTATCTGTAGCCCCCATACAATACCCTGACTGTACCTGTGGCCCCCATACAATAACCTGACTGCACCTGTGGCCCCCATACAATACCCTGACTGCACCTGTAGCCCCCATACAATACCCTGACTGTACCTGTGGCCCCCCATACAATAACCTGACTGCACCTGTAGCCCCCATACAATACCCTGACTGCACCTGTAGCCCCCATACAATACCCTGACTGCACCTGTAGCCCCCATACAATACCCTGACTGCACCTGTAGCCCCCATACAATACCCTGACTGCACCTGTAGCCCCATACAATAACCTGACTGCACCTGTAGCCCCATACAATACCCTGACTGCACCTGTAGCCCCATACAATAACCTGACTGCACCTGTAGCCCCATACAATAAGCACTAGCACTCCTGGCATAAATGGATGGGGAGTGTGATACTTATAATCTTCCCTCTTATTGGCGGATCAAAAGCAAGATGTTCCTGGTCGAATCTATTATATGTCATAACACACACTACATGATCTCCCTGGCCCATCCTACTGTACCTAGATGGGCCTAAGATCTCCCTGACCCATCCTACTGTACCTAGATGGACCGTTAGTTTTCCCTGAATCATCCTTATGTACCTGGAAGGGTCGTAGGATGTTCCTATCCTATCCTCCTGTACCTGGATAACTGATGAACACCATGTGGCCAGATGGGAGGCTCATGGTCTGACCATACACACAATGATAACACAGTGATAAACAGACGGTGGTTACTGTCTTCACCGTCACACTTAAGACTTACCCGGTCCTTCTGTCTAAACGGGAATGGTCTTGAAGGAGTCGGTGATCTGAAGTCCTGAAACATGGAAAAAGGAAAATAGCATTATGACTCTGCACTTGATCCCGTAATAAATGTGTGTCACAATATAGGGTAATCACAGCAGGCCTGACATGTCTTGCAACTGGTTAATTAACTGTTGACAAAGTCCACTCACCCTCTCTGACTGGATGAGCGGGGAGGGTCTGACAGGCGTGGGTGACCGCGGGTCCTGCAACACAACCAAACACTTATGGAACACAAATCTCCACTTGTATTTCGGTATCTTAAATACGGGAGGGAGAGGGGGATGAGAAGAGTACATGTACACAGATAAGAGAACATCGTGGACGTGGCCAGTGTCATAGGTCAACCCGTCCTCTTAAAAATAACGTCGCTTCTGGCCCGTTTGTCCGTATGGCCGAAAGTGGACGTAATTTGAAAATTAAAATAAATTCGGGATTTTTTTTTTCAACAACAGTAAGTTAAGGGTCCTCTGGTAGGTTAGGTGGGCAGGAAATTCTCATAAAGTTTCAAAACGTTATGAAAAACGTTAATGGAAAGTTTCCTCTCCTAACCTTACCGAGTAAGCCGGACGACTCAAACAGAAAACGGGACAGTACGTCACTTTTGTGAGTCTATTTCATTTCAAGTTACGTCCAAATTTGGCCATAGCGCGCATACGAGCCTAAAGTGACGTTATTCTTAAGAGGACGGGTTGGACACGATGCTTGCGTATCTGCACGCTAAGCTGTCACTAAACTGCCTGAGTCAATGACTACTAAGCATCTGTAAAGTAGTGAAAGGTATTAAAGGTTATGTAGATATGTAAACACGTCTCCAGCGAGTATGCATGACGGTGGGGTGGGGGGGGGGTGCTTAGTAATGCAGACAGTCCCCGTGGCGCAGTGGTAAAACACTCGCTCGGCGCTTCGCGAGCGCTTTGACCAGGGGAGGATTGACTGGGCGCCAGTCTAGCGGCCTCTGTTCACCCAGTAGTCAATGGGGACCTCGTTGTAAAACTTAGGATTAAGGTCCTGCCTGAAACGCTATGTACGCTAGTGGCTTTACAGGAATGTAAGAATTCTTGTATAAATAAATAAATAAATAAATAAATAAATAAAAAGAGTTCGAACCCTACTCGGGTCTCTCTCTCTCTCTGTATATATATATATATATATATATATATATATATATATATATATATATATATATGTATATGTTGAATATGACAGTAAGGGTTAGATTAATGATTCTAACACGAATCTTCTCAATATTTTGACTCTCAAAATAACAAAAATTATCCACAAAAAATTAACTCTCCAAAGTTCATTTTTGCATTTTATTTATGGTCTGCCCCCTAGAAGCGTTTCGCAAGAGAATTCTTACATTTTCAAAGACAAATTTTACGTACTTCATTTCATGCTTTTCTTTTTGGGCGAGGTGACAGAACCCAAATCAATGGGTAAATATAATTTTACATAGAACACGAATCAATGGATACATTGTGTATTTTCTCTTCTTTCTTTCTGTCTTGGTTCAGGGTCTTGAGGTGGGTCACTTCAAGCAATATGCGCCACAATAAAGCCACTAGCAAGCAATATGTACCACAATAAAGCCACTAGCAAGCAATATGTGCCACAAAGCCACTAGCAAGCAATATGTACCACAATAAAGCCACTAGCAAGCAATATGCGCCACAATAAAGCCACTAGCAAGCAATATGTACCACAATAAAGCCACTAGCAAGCACTATGTACCACAATAAAGCCACTAGCAAGCAATATGTACCACAATAAAGCCACTAGCAAGCCATATGTACCACAATAAAGCCACTAGCAAGCACTATGTACCACAATAAAGCCACTAGCAAGCAATATGTACCACAATAAAGCCACTAGCAAGCAATATGTACCACAATAAAGCCACTAGCAAGCAATATGTACCACAATAAAGCCACTAGCAAGCAATATGTACCACAATAAAGCCACTAGCAAGCAATATGTACCACAATAAAGCCACTAGCAAGCAATATGTACCACAATAAAGTCACTAGCAAGCAATATGTGCCACAAAGTCACTAGCAAGCAATATGTACCACAATAAAGCCACTAGCAAGCACTATGTGCCCCAATAATGTCACAAAAAAGTTTTAAGTAAAAGTCAAAAGCATGCAAATAAACCAATATATATATCATATAATTCAATAATGTAATTAAACCATCTAAGCAACAATGAAATAATATAAACAATCTACAGAACAATAAAATAATGTAAGCCATGATATGAGCAATGGAAACACAAACAACCTGGAAAATAATGACAAAATTCACAGCACCCAAGGAAGGAATTAAGTGTAAGTACTCTAAAGTGCTAAGAAAGAACATCACCCAATCGAGCAGTGAGAGAAAACATGGCGTGTCACCCCAAACATGCCAGCACTAGTAAGTCAAACACAGCTGACACCCTGTACTGGTCCTTGTGACACACCCTATCACTCACCCCATCACAGTGACTCACCCTATCACTCACCCCATCACAGTGACTCACCCTATCAGAGTTATTCACCCTATCACTCGCCCCATCATAATGTTCACCCTATCACACGCCCCATCACAGTGACTCACCCTATCACTCGCCCCATCACAGTGACTCACCCTATCACTCACCCCATCACAGTGACTCACCCTATCACTCACCCCATCACAGTGACTCACCCTATCAGAGTTACTCACCCTATCACTCGCCCCATCATAATGTTCACCCTATCACACGCCCCATCACAGTGACTCACCCTATCACACGCCCCATCACAGTGACTCACCCTATCACACGCCCCATCACAGTGACTCACCCTATCACACGCCCCATCAGAGTTACTCACCCTATTACTCGCCCCATCATAATGTTCACCCTATAACACGCCCCATCACAGTGACTCACCTTATCACTCGCCCCATCACAGTGACTCACCCTATCACTCGTCCCATCACAGTGACTCCCCTATCACTCACCCCATCACAGTGACTCACCCTATCACACGCCCCATCAGAGTTACTCACCCTATCACTCGCCCCATCATAATGTTCACCCTATCACACGCCCCATGACCGTGACTCACCTTATCACTCGCCCCATCACAGTGACTCACCCTATCACTCGTCCCATCACAGTGACTCCCCCTATCACTCACCCCATCAGAGTGACTCACCCTATCACTCGCCCCATCACAGAGATTCACCCTATCACTCGCCCCATCACAATAACTCACCCTATCACTCGCCCCATCACAGTGACTCACCCTATCACTCGCCCCATCAGAGTGACTCACCCTATCAGAGCGTGGGAAGGCTGAAGAGCAGGAAGAGGACCTGGGATCCTACAAAGAAAAATGTATGGTGTTGGGGAGTATAATCTATAGTGTGGAGGCAACACATCAGTTACATTAATGTCCGCCTGAAGACTTCTTGCCCACATTTGGAGTAGAAATATTTAACATCTTCAAGTTAACTTTGGAATACTTAGATTTTAACAATGTTTACATCTGTGAGCGTAGATTGGTAACAGAAATAGAGAAAAGTATTTGTTTATATGGCAGCCGTGTGACGATGTAATAGGATGATAGATAAGATGGTAAGTAAAAGGATAATTATGTAATGGGTTGTGGGTTGGGAGTTTGATGGGTGGGGTGAGTGAGGCAGCAATGGATGGATGAAATAGGGTGATGGGTAGTAGATGAGGATGTAAAAGGATCAAGTAATGGGTTTTTGTGTAGGTCTGAAGGTGCGGATGTAATGGCGGGTGAGGAAATAATGGGTGAAGGAAGACATACCTGACTTATAATGGCAGAGGGCGGCCTGGCGGTGGGCGTGGGCGACCATGGCTCCTGTAACGTGGACACAACAACACCAAACACCATTAGCTTCTTCAACTACCTTGACGCACTCTTAATCACCAATATACTCCAATATTAAAGACAAGTATTCAAATATACTTACAAGTCTATACGATAATGATAATTATATGGAATACATCAATCATTTATACAATTTGACTTGTAAAGGGTAATACTTAACAAGTAAACAATATCGCGGCACTGTTGCTGTTCCGCTAACAAATTTAAAAATACATATTATTCAAAGATTTCTCGCATGCACAACTGTACCCGTGTTTATTATTGTGCACGCCTAGGTGGCAATACTGACCCGGTCTCTATAGAGCGCCGAGCCGGGCCTCGAACCCGGGGGTGAACGCGGCTCCTGCAACACAACCATCACTTTAGTGTACCTCCACACTCACACACCTGCAGCATGTGTACCTCCACACTCACACACACCTGCAGCATGTGTACCTCCACACTCACACACCTGCAGCATGTGTGTACCTCCACACTCACACACCTGCAGCATGTGTGTACCTCCATACACACACCTGCAGCAGGTGTGTACCTCCACACACACACCTGCAGCAGGTGTACCTCCACACTCCAACCCGTTCTCGCAAATTTAATAAGTCAATATTGACTTATTAAATCTGATACCTATAATAGGTATAGGTTAAGTAATAATTGTAATTACGAAGCAATAAGATGCTTATCTTAAGATACTAACAAGGTTAGGTAAGGTCGGTGTTTTCTATGAATCTTTTTAAGGGTATCTATTATGTTTAGTATATCACCTATGCACGTAGTTAATAAGTCAATATTGACTTTACGAATTTGCGAGAACGGGTTGTGTCACACACCTGCAGCATGTGTACCTCCACACTCACACACCTGTGTGTGTAGTGAACTTAGGGAAAGAACACAAGAAGTAAACCCAGATGTAATTGGACTCACAGAAACAAAACTCTCAGGAATCATAACGAATGCGGTGTTTCCCCAGGACTACACTGTAATAAGGAAAGAAAAGGTAGGAAGGGGAGGAGGCGGAGTGGCTCTACTGATGAGAAAGGAATGGAGTTTCGAGGAGATGGTTATTCCAGGCTGTGAAGGGTTCAGAGACTTCATAACAGGCACCATGATGATGGGAGGACCAGGAGTAGTAGTAGCAGTGATATATAACCCACGACCAAATGAAAGAAGACCCAGGCAAGAGTATGACAATAACAACATGGAAGTTAACATTATCATTGAGAGAGCAGCCGCTGCTGCCTGTAGAAATCGATCCCATCTGCTCATAATAAGGGACTTCAATCATGAAAGGATAGACTGGGAAAACAGGGAACCACATGGAGGTGAGGAAACATGGAGAGCGAAACTGCTGGAGGTGATGACTAGAAACTTTTTAAGTCAGCATGTCAAGGATCCCACGAGAACGAGAGGCAATGATGAACCAGCAAGACTCTACCTAGTATTCACTCTGAACAATTCAGACATAAAGGAAATAGGTCTTGAAGCCCCCGTGGGTATGAGTGATCACAGTGTACTGTTGTTTGAGTATCTGGTCGAAGAAGGTACCGGTATGTACAAGTTGGATCCCTATTTAAGCCTCAATATAGCACGTCAAAACAATATAGCAATCATTTAACACGTATGGCACTTGGAGATATTAATAGGAGCTGCCTCGTATGGGCCAATAGGCCTTCTGCAGTTACCTTCTTTCTTATAATTCCTTTCCTCCACTTATTTTTGGTGGTCAGGTGATCTGCCCAGGCGGATATAAAGGTCTGATCAGCAATCTTATCTTCATTCTACTTTGCTCTGATGAAGGCGAATTAGCCGAAAATGCGTTAAGCATTTTCTATTTTTCACATGTTATTCTGCATATATATATATATATATATATATATATATATATATATATATATATATATATATATATATATATATATCATTCTGATGTTACTTAACCTAAACAATGATTTTTGTTAACTTTATCAATGCTACTATGTATCTCATAAGTTAGAAGCGTGTCCGCGTAAGCGTAGAAGCATATATATATATATATATATATATATATATATATATATATATATATATATATATATATATATATATATATATATATATATATATATATATGCTTCTACGCTTACGCGGACACGCTTCTAACTTATGAGATACATAGTAGCATTGATAAAGTTAACAAAAATCATTGTTTAGGTTAAGTAACATCAGAATGATAAGGGATGCAAGGAAGCACTTTTTCAGGGTGTAGTAAGCAAGTGGAATAAATTTATAAGTAATGATAGCAGAGGCTATCTCCATGCATAGTTTTAGGAGTCGCTGCAGCAAATTACCGACCGGAGCTGTAGCTCAAGCTTCAACCCAAGGAGGAGATACATTGGCTGTGATACGCCCACCATCCAAATCTTTAACAACACATTCTCACTCCCACCACTTCCAGCCTTACAATGATCCTCACAGAAGACACAAAACGCACCTTGTCTTTCTTCCCTCAACTCCCTAGTCCGAAGCAGACCCCCTAACTTTTTTAACAAACATCACCAGCCCAACTCTACCCACTGATCAAGTCTTACTTCAACCTCACTTCTCACATATACTCCTTATCCCACCTTAAAAACGTGGAAATGAAGCCATTAACAATAATTGTGGTAACAAAGGTGGCATAAATACTGGTACATTGTTCCCCGAGAACTACCAAGTGATTAGTGGAAAAAAATAATAGAGGTATATGTTGCGATAATGATCAAATGATATAATTACAATAATGGCAGTATGAAATAATTTATTATAAAAGTATAAATAAATGTAAAAGTGCCAGGGGAACATTGATTACAGAAATATTGACTGGTAGACACGAGAAGGCCAGAGACAGAGACCTGCAGAGTGAAACTACATGACACTATGTTATGAAATGTCCTGGTATAGCAAATAAAAAGAATAAAAATTACCAAGGGAGAGGATGGGCCAGCTCTGCAAGAATTAATGTATATTTGCTTAAAAAAAACAAGATATTGAGGCGATAGAATTATGTATTAATGAATTTCAACATATAATTCAAATGTATATAATTCAAACATGTATTAATGAATTTCAAATTATAATTCAAATGTATATCATTCAAACATTCTGGTGTTTGAATGTCTAGTGGAGCTGAAAGTACAAGAAAGATGACAATGGTAGTATAACAAAAATTAGTATTCCTAAGGACTATTAATTGGAAGGCTAAATTCGGTGAAGAACATAGAACGCATGATAGATTATGTCACCCAAAAAATACATGGAAGCTATAGACAAGTTTAATAAAATTCAAATGGATATACAGTACAGGAATAGCCCAGAGTTCAACAAGAATTAACTAGAAACAGATTAATTAAAAGAATTTAAGCTTGCAGAACATAAAATACACAAGAAAATCTAGAAATTATAAGATATCAAAGAATATGTAAGAATCAGATAAAAATTAGTGAAGAAAACATTAAGCTGAAAAGCTACTGTATATAGTTTCTGCCCAGAATCCCAGCAATAAATGATCAGGAATCCAAATTGAAGAGGAAGAAAATTGACTTATAGGGACTGGAAAATTAACAAAACGTTCAGTATTCGAGATTAAGTCAGATTCGTAGCCTAATCTTCGTTAATAATTTCGTAATACGAAAGTCAAAGACAACAAGTATGAACCTGAGTGTAGAGGACGACAACTTGTCACATGCAGGAATAGTGCAGCACAAACGTTCAGAAGACACTGCACCAGAAGCCTGAGAGCCTAATATAAGGCACGTTCACACCACTGACTTGTTATGTGTACATAGTGCAGCCTCAAACGGCTGCTGAAACCCACACAACTGAGTATTGTTCTTAATCTAAAGCGTTAGAGGTATTTACTGGGTAGCGATGGCTGATCTTATTGTGCTCCATATTGTGGTCAAGAATATGAAGGCATCGTATATGCTGAAATTTTTATGTACATTAGTACACAAAATATAAACTTTGTGTACTACTCTTGTAAAAGAGTAGTACACAAAAAATAGGCACTGCTGACAACATTTTTACCGTCACAAGTGCGCGAATCCCGTTCCCGCACACCTCATGCCTGAAGGCTTCCGGCAACCAGTACCCTTCACAACTCTACAACTTGCCCCGAGCACACCCCTCATATTAACACTAAGCATACAACAGCACAAAATAACACTAATGACTAAGTTTGCGTTAAAATAATGATTAATGTGACGTTCATGAAGGAAAAGGTAGCGTGTGTGAAGCGTTAGCACGGGTGGAGGTTGTTTACCTCTGGCTATCTGACACGAACAATTTCTAAATCATCAGTAAAGACATAGATACAGATAGAATAGCCTACATGTGCACATACATAAGCCTTAAGTCTATACACGTTTTAATGATATATAACTTAGTATATGTTTTCACAGTTTTACGTGGTAAATAGCGGATCATAGGAAGAGCAACTTACCCGTGGCAGGTCCCGGAGCAGTATGGGAGAGTGGCGGTAGGGGCGCTGCATGTCCTGTGCCCAGGCCATGGGAGACAATGTGGTACAGTTAGTAATACACTCCCTTACACTCACCAAAATATATCTGGCACATAGGTGTGTCTTATGTACCTATTAATTTTAGATATATAAATAAAAAAAATTAAATCAAGAAAATAATATACCCTTTAACACATAAAGAATTCAGTTTTGCGATTCTTTGTCATTCTTCAGCTAAAAAATAAGCAGTTATTCTCTACATTTAGGACATCCTATTGCTACTAACGGATGGATCGCATTATTAAAACTTCAAACATTCAAGGAGTGTCTTCCATGTTGTAATTTATCGGTGTTCTACTGGACGCGGCCAGTACCTGTGCTACGTTATAATTGTACAGGAAAGCAAGACGCTTTTATAAAAAAATCATTCAATTAAAAGAAAACTCCTTGAATCCAAGATAATTTAATAATACTCCTTCATGCGACGCCAGGATAGGAACCTTTCAGACAGAAAAACACTTGTGGTAGTATTTTCTTTAAAAAGTATTTTTCTGTACTTCAAAACCTTACGCCACCGGATGCAATTCGTTTTGCAGAAATTGACATAGGCTTCTTTGAAAATATCTGACCAAAACTGTGAAGAAATATTAAAATTCAGTTTAAATTAGTGTTACCTACTGTTGACATATATATATATCGGTTAAATCTATAATTACTGACGAAATAAGAAGTCTGAGTGTGCATATTTTATTTACAGTATCTCGGGATTCACACACTATCAAAGATGTGTTTTATGCAGTATTAACCTAATATCTTATTTACTGTGTAGCACCTTATCTAATCAGTTTTCAGATCATAAAATATTGATATTTAGACATTAATAGTGCTGCCAATAAAGGTTAACTTTATTATTTAATAGTAATTATTTATTTGACTTCCCTCTTCGTTCATCCCTCTCAAAACTGGTAATAGTAAAAACAATTCAGAATAATTCAACAAGAATTGTTTGGAGATACGGGAAACGTTGTCTTTGTTAGGTGACCTAGTTCAGTGAATCCTGTCGGAAAATCCGACACCATTTAATAATCATACAGATAATAGCTGTATTACCAACAAGTTACCCATAGAAAACGTAACTTGTAGTGGAATTACCGTCTATAGAAAACGGGATATCATCACCACATACTATTATAATTCACCAGCTATTCTGCTGGGAATTGTTCTTAAATACATTAGTCTTTGGACTTTACCATCATAAAAACATCTTATATAAATTAACTTAATTATCAATATTAAAGTAGAGTAAATGTGACCCTTCTATCACTTTCTGAAATGTGGACAATGTAAGCCAGGCGTCAGAGTGGGGAAGGAGGGCAGCCATTGTTGTGTCACCTCCGAGACGTGTGGAGCAAATTTAGCTCCTATCATATCTGGACAATGTCGGCCAGTAACGTCAATAGTATGGAGTGTTAAACAGCCATTGTTTATATTGAGACCAGAGGCTCACACGGGAGCAAATTCGGCTCCTGTTAATTTTACTTGGACGTAGTGTTATGGAAACCAAAGGTACCATCTCCAACACGATGTCTACAATTCAAGTTAAGTGTTCTTTCCGAAACCCGTTTATCATTCATTTATGGCCATTAATGTCAGGATATAGGGTGACCCGGTTAGAGCACGTGGAAGCCTCAAACTAAAGGTAATTAAGCCAGGTCTTCAATGTTCCATGTACTGTTTTCTCTGATATACTTGTCATATATAGGATTCTGGCTTCACAGCTAGCGCACTTTTGACAGGTCAAGACGAGGAAGGAAGATTTGTGCACCAGTTACTGGGTGATATGGAAGCTACCTCAAAGAGGATAATTTGGTGTCTACACCCTAGTTATACCTGGTGGACTAACCTGCTGTACTATAAGATAAGGAACCTCTTCAATGTATGTAGTTAATTTTGTAGTTTGATTGGCTGCATATATATACTAATAAACCCCCCCTAATGTGTAGAGGATCGATTTGTGAGATTATAAGATTATTGCAGAAATACAGTCCACTTATTATACAAATTGCTATCGAAGTATATAAATTATCGTAAATATAAATTCTATATATATTCATATAAATTAAATAAATATAAATCTCACAGGTCGGTTCCCACATTATTTGGTCCTTCGAACCGGATTATTTGGTCCTATGAACCACATTTGGTCATCTTAGTACCGGATGAACCAGTTAACCAGTGGATTCATTAAATATACTAGTGCAGTGTGATTTAAACAAAGCCAGTCAAAGACAGCGGCGAAGCCTCGTGGGAGCTCAGGAGCCTCCCTCAGCCCAGATCAGCTTCGTCAGCGGTTTCATGCACACCCACAGATTTGGTGGAGTGTTATTCTGTGAAATGACAGCGCTAATATTGAAGCCAGCCAAATTAGTGACTGTGTCTTCGCGATATTGTTCACGGATTTCGTGGTGTTACATTTCGCGAGAGATTATCTACGAATTTTGTGGACTTTATTTCGCGAGGTCACTAATAATATTTAATACTTCTTGATAATATTAGAAGTTTCATAGAGGCTAATTAAGAGGCTATTATCAATAATTGTGTATATTATTTCTCCAAGATAGAGAATTATTTAATATATATTGCACTAGTGATCACAGTATAATATTTGCTAATTGTCAACCCACAACAGGGTAGGATATTAACCATTGACTAGTTGAACTATTATTGCTCATCCTAGTCCCATTATTACCATAGTCAGTTGTACTATATTCAACAATCTAACACCATTAATGAATGGTCCAGACCCTATTTTGGGTGTAATTTTTATCAACTCGAATTGAGTTGTATATATAATAATTTACTTATGATCATTACACCTTTGAGTGATTAATTAGTGTCTATTCCATCCTAGGGTGATATAGAAGAGCTAACCTAAAGGTACTTCCAGTGACACTGGTTTATCACTCAAATCATTAGTGTGGATGATTGTATATATATAATGTGTATTAATTTTAAGTGCTAACCTCTAGTAGAGGTAGGATTATTGCCTAGTGAGTGCAGAATTTACCCTAGGCTACCATCAGTGCTTGTTCAGTATTATGAGCAGCCCAAGTACAAGTCCCACAAGGCTTCACCAACGAGCCAGTATGGATAATGCAGGGAGAATGAAAAGAACCCTTGCAGGTCTTAAAGGCCACTTAACAAGACAGATCAAGAAATGTGAAGATTTGTCACAACAATCTCAAGTTGATTATGCTGACCTGGAAAGCTATTATCAAGCAGCTGCAGGTAAATTTGAGCAAATCAAATGCCAAATGGCTGTCCTTGTGGGGGCAGACTACTACCATCGATTCATCGGTAGCCCTACTAAATATCAGGGCATAACCATGTTAAAGTCTGCAGGAGGTAAATTACTCTCAGGTCCAGTATCAAGCCTGAGGAGACCTATGCCTGCAGATAAACAATACCAATAGAAATCTAAATTTGTCAGCTGATTATATTTCTCCAGTAGCATTATACTAAGGAGATTACAGCTGACTATACCAACAGAGGTTGATGTTAGTATCATCATTTAAAGCTGGAGATGAGTTCATGAGGCCTCAGTGGCAAATCAGTGAACAGTAGCCTAAAACAGCTACAAGTCACTGCGACCAATGTCACTGAACCCACTGCAGTCTCAGAACCATACTTTACTTTAATGATGAGCTATTCAATCTTCTGAATCAATTAACTAAATTAAACCCCAATAAATCTGATGACTGATTTGATACATTTATTATTTAATCAAGATGTATTCCATGGGCCTCAGTGTTTATATATCAGTGACCAGTTACCTGAACAAACTTCAAGTTATATCTAATGTCACTGATCTCACTGCAGTCCCTGAATCATACTTGACTGTAGTACTTGATCACATCCAGTCTTCTGGGTTAAATAATATGTAATAAGGCTTGAATATTAGCCTTTCAAGAGTTGACAGGGAAATGAAATCGCATTAGACTTCTAACCCCTGCAACTCTAGTACGGGACATCCGTCCTGTATGAACAGACGCACAAATGTGTGATTACTAACTACTAACATCAAATTAATGTAATAATTCGAAGGAGGAGTATCGGTGTTCGTCTGTTCTAATTAGGACTTCGACCCGTGAGCAGCCCCTGGGGAATTATGTCGGAAAATCCGACACCATTTAATAATCATACAGATAATAGCTGTATTACCAACAAGTTACCCATAGAAAACGTAACTTGTAGTGGAATTACCGTCTATAGAAAACGGGATATCATCACCACATACTATTATAATTCACCAGCTATTCTGCTGGGAATTGTTCTTAAATACATTAGTCTTTGGACTTTACCATCATAAAAACATCTTATATAAATTAACTTAATTATCAATATTAAAGTAGAGTAAATGTGACCCTTCTATCACTTTCTGAAATGTGGACAATGTAAGCCAGGCGTCAGAGTGGGGAAGGAGGGCAGCCATTGTTGTGTCACCTCCGAGACGTGTGGAGCAAATTTAGCTCCTATCATATCTGGACAATGTCGGCCAGTAACGTCAATAGTATGGAGTGTTAAACAGCCATTGTTTATATTGAGACCAGAGGCTCACACGGGAGCAAATTCGGCTCCTGTTAATTTTACTTGGACGTAGTGTTATGGAAACCAAAGGTACCATCTCCAACACGATGTCTACAATTCAAGTTAAGTGTTCTTTCCGAAACCCGTTTATCATTCATTTATGGCCATTAATGTCAGGATATAGGGTAACCCGGTTAGAGCACGTGGAAGCCTCAAACTAAAGGTAATTAAGCCAGGTCTTCAATGTTCCATGTACTGTTTTCTCTGATATACTTGTCATATATATAGGATTCTGGCTTCACAGCTAGCGCACTTTTGACAGGTCAAGACGAGGAAGGAAGATTTGTGCACCAGTTACTGGGTGATATGGAAGCTACCTCAAAGAGGATAATTTGGTGTCTACACCCTAGTTATACCTGGTGGACTAACCTGCTGTACTATAAGATAAGGAACCTCTTCAATGTATGTAGTTAATTTTGTAGTTTGATTGGCTGCATATATATACTAATAAACCCCCCCTAATGTGTAGAGGATCGATTTGTGAGATTATAAGATTATTGCAGAAATACAGTCCACTTATCATTATACAAATTGCTATCGAAGTATATAAATTAACGTAAATATAAATTCTATATATATTCATATAAATTAAATAAATATAAATCTCACAGGTCGGTTCCCACAAATCCTTTAAAATGAAACAAATGAGCATCATAAAATCTACAGTCGAAGGATATCTCTGAACATACAACTGTTTTGGTTTGGTGATGGGCTTAAGACCTATCAACCACTGGAGGATTAATACGCCACACAAGCGCTTACTGACACCACCTGATACACTTCAGTCCTGGACATGGTCCAGAACTAAACTCAGTCTATTTACACCAGGAAACAGGGTACACCTCGATCTCGGAGTAAATATACTTCTGACAACACGTTTATATCTAAAGCTGATTTTTAATTAATAACCATTAATAAAAAAACCTGTTTATTTTCAACTATTTGCCTTCTTAATGAGTTTAACTTGACATGTTTCATATGTATTCATAAGAGTATATCACTAAGTTCAAAAGTGTAATCTGTCGCGTTAACAAGGTTCCTATGCTGCTTTGACAACACAGTTGAAAACCGTGATTGGGGAGATAAGTATCGTAGCCTAATAAGCTAATGTTAAACTATTCCAAGCCTAATGTAAAAACTATAGTATCACGTAGAGCTAGTCCAATGTGTGTTCTACAGTGTAAACTTATAGTGCAATAATAATTTATTTAAATATAGTGAAAGATCCATGGGCAAAGCGTTCTGTGGCAAAATTAATGCTAAATATAAATATTTGAAATGGCTTAAACTTTCTAACCATTTATGGTTCCATAAACGTTGGATGTTAACTTTGGCTCGAGTGCAACCTTACTCATTACTTTACTTCAACTAGAATCAATTTTAAATTAAGTGTAATGTCATACACTGAATAAAAATTTGAAATAATGTGAGGGGAAAGCCTTGGATCTAACACAACTAAAGTAATCAGTGATGTATTAATAAGAGCTAGGCAGCGAGAGTAGTATGCAGCCACAGGTAGTACTGACCACAGCCTTCTGCTGGAGGTTGGCCTCCTGCGGGGAAATAGGGTGCTGTGGCATGGGGTAGAACACGCCAGACTGCTGTGCTGATTCCTGCATTACTTGTGACGATTGCTGCGCCAAATGACGCGTTACCTTTGATGACTGTTGCGTCATTTGATGCATCTGTACTTGCGTCGACGCCATCTGTTCCGGGTGCTGTGCAAATGGCGTCGTTGACTGCTGTGAGAGTTGTGTTGTAAACTGTTCGATCTGTGAAGCGGCCTGTGAAGCGGCGTGAGCAGCGGCCTGCTGGGCAGCCTGCCGTTGTTGCTGTTGTTCCAGCTGGGCGGCTGCCATGTGTAGCGCCGGCAAGACGGTGGCATGCGTGACCGTGGACGCGCATGGCGACCCTGCCCGGTCAGTGCCCATGCTCAGGCGGCGCAGTTTGAAGGGCGTGGGCGTGGACCTTGGGGAGGCCACAGCTGGCGGAAGCCCCTGCACCCCCGGAGCGGCCACGGGGGAGGGGACGGAGGCCCCCTCCGGCAGCTTCAAGGGGGAGTCCCCTCGGGGGCACCAGGAGCGGGGCCGGTTACTCCGGTGTGACATGGCTGCTCCTGGCCGCTACCCCATCATATCCTGCAACACAACAAGCAACAACATTACATCATACACGTTTTCACTCATCATTTACTCGCCCAATTGACTAAGACTATAAGTCTACACATGCCCCCCCCCCCCCCGGGGCGGTACACACATATACACACCTCCGGGCGCATTTATCAAAATTAAACTAAATGAATAAACTTGTTAAAATAACAAATTTCTTAAATTATAGCAGAATATTGGTAATAATCATAGCACATGCGGATCATATTTTTTTCTTATCAATTAAAATTGTTATAGAATGTGTGAAGTATGATGACGGCGGGACAGTCAGGCCACTCCACACACCTCATACAACCAATACCAGGCTTCTAACACAAGTGGTACAATGCAGTGAACCCTCACAAACACACGTGTGTGAAATATAAATCAAATTGATAATTGTAATACTATAAACCGCAAACAAAGCCAGGCATAGTGTATTAAAAGATAACACAGGTTCAACGCTACGAGGCGCCACTATTGATCCATACTCATGTACCACATGACGCAATATAAGTACACCATATGCTCAGATATTAACATCAAATAATGACCCCGACTATATCAATTGACAAAATATTCTCAAATTGCCGCACAGTCATTACAGAGCTCATCACCACCCACGTTATATTATTGCAATGATAAAGGACAGCACTTATCAGCAATGGTTGAAGCCTTGCTTAACTGTACAACCGCACCAGGTGGAATATAAATCTCATCATCCCCCAACACTTCTCCAGTACACCTTCAGTGTTGCCTCATCCTCCAACACTTCTCCAGTACACCTTCAGTGTTGCCTCATCCTCCAACACTTCTCCAGTACACCTTCAGTGTTGCCTCATCCTCCAACACTTCTCCAGTACACCTTCAGTGTTGCCTCATCCCCCAACACTTCTCCAGTACACCTTCAGTGTTGCCTCATCCTCCAACACTTCTCCAGTACACCTTCAGTGTTGCCTCATCCTCCAACACTTCTCCAGTACACCTTCAGTGTGACCCCATCCCCCAACACTTCTCCAGTACACCTTCAGTGTGACCCCATCCTCCAACACTTCTCCAGTACACCTTCAGTGTGACCCCATCCTCCAACACTTCTCCAGTACACCTTCAGTGTGACCCCATCCCCCAACACTTCTCCAGTACACCTTCAGTGTGACATCCCCCAACAATCCATCCCCTCAACTAGAACGTCTTATTTCGTCAGTTATCGTCCCCAACGTACAAATTACAAAGTAGTGGATCCCAAATATCCACGTTTTCTATACATGGGAAGGTTAGTTAGGCGGGTTGCCTGTGTTTGTCCCTTGCTGGGTAGGTTAGCACCGTGTATTCTGGACGTTGGTGCACGTGCCAAGACCAGCATGACGAGCGGAACAATTGAAGAGGGAACAGAACAGTGCTTGGTACACCAGTACATGGTGTTCATGCCAGCCTCAAACACGACCTTGGTGTGATCATCTTTGTTCATAACTGGTGGACCAGGCCCACCCTCAAAAAGATAAGCAAGTAATTATCAAAAGAAGGCACCAAGCTATCTGTGCAGAAAGATAAGGCTTCCCTATTTAAGTAATATATGTAGTTTAATACTGTAGTGAATGTCTGCTAACCAATAATTTATATGGTTGACTACATACATAAACCCTCCATAATGTGTAAGGAAGCGATTTGTGAAACATTTTAAGAAATACAATTCACTAACCATCATACAATTTGCTATAGAAAAATATAAATTAACGTAAAATATAAATTACTACATACATTAATATAAATTAAATAAATATAAATCTCACAAGTAAATTCCCCCACAGTCTGGGTGTGAATGGGAGTACTGAAGGTACTGTGGGGCTGAGATGTGAGTCCTTATCTCCACATCCACAATGTCCATGAAAAGGTCGACCAGGCCACCGAGGATACTTTATACTCTCACACTACACTGATGAGAACAGTAAACAATGAGAACATAAACCAAGGGATGCTAAACATTTAATGACAAACTTCGTTGTTGTGGACAATGGTGAAGATGGACCACATTCCTCACTCTCTCAACCCCTCCTCACCATCACTTGGAGTACAGATGTACTCTGATATATTGGCTACAACCAGGTCATTTTTGGTCGTCATTGTATATCTTGAGGTTATCTTGAGATGATTTCGGGGCTTTAGTGTCCCCGCGGCCCGGTCCTCGACCTGGCCTCCACCCCCAGGAAGCAGCCCGTAACAGCTGGCTAACACCCAGGTACCTATTTACTGCTAGGTAACAGGGGCATTCAGGGTGAAAGAAACTTTGCCCATTTTTTTCTGCCTCGTGCGGGAATCGAACCCGCGCCACAGAATTACGAGTCCTGCGCGCTATCCACCAGGCTACGAGGCCCCGTTACCGTATAAGTGATAAACAAACCACATCAGAAAACTAAGAAACGACGACGTTTCGGTCCGTCCTGGACCCTTATCAAGTCCTTTAATGAAGAGTTACTTTAGTTTATCTATTAAGCACCACTGATACATGAGAGTCGACAGCGCTTCGGATTCGTAGTCCTGAGGTTCCGGGTTCGATCCCCCGTCGAGGTGAAACAAATATGCAGAGTTTCTTTCACCCTGATGCTCCTGTTACCTGGCAGCAAACAGGTACCTGGGAGTTAGACAGCAGCTACGGGCTGCTTCCTGGGGGTGTGTAACAAAAATGAGGCGTAGTCGAGGACCGGGCCGCAGGGTTGCTAAGCCCCGTAATTATCTCAAGATAACTTCAAGATAACCCCATACCCATCCTGTGGGCAGTAGTGGGAAACATTACAAAGGCACATAATGGGCTCAGGGACTGAACCCCACAATTCATTTAGCTAAGCAAGTTACAATCTTGATGAGCTAGTTACAAAATTTACAAGACGTGGTGAGCACAAGACGTGGTGAGCACAAGACGTGGTGAGCACAAGACGTGGTGAGCACAAGACGTGGTGAGCTAGTGTCACAACTGATATGTTTATACTGCCCCCTGCCCCCCCCCCCCATCCAATGGGCAGCGGTGGATAGGTTACACTCTTTCACAATATTCCGGAACATTATCTTGAGGTTATCTTGAGATGATTTCGGGGCTTAGCGTCCCCGCGGCCCGGTCCTCGACCAGGCCTCCTTTTTGTTACACATCCCCAGGAAGCAGCCCGTAGCAGCTCTCTAACTCCCAGGTACCTATTTACTGCTAGGTGAACAGAGCATCAGGGTGAAAGAAACTCTGCCCATTTGTTTCCGCCTCCACCGGGGATCGAACCCGGAACCTCAGAACTACGAATCCCGGGCGTTGTCCACTCAGGTGTCAGGGCCCTTACAACTCTGTTTACAACTTAACGTTACAATGTAACGTTGTTTACAACTCCTTGATAAAGGTTGCAGGTTACATTCCAAAATTAGATTGTAATACTATTACACAGGGGCCTCGTAGCCTGGTGGATAGCGCGCAGGACTCGTAATTCTGTGGCGCGGGTTCGATTCCCGCACGAGGCAGAAACAAATGGGCAAAGTTTCTTTCACCCTAAATGCCCCTGTTACCTAGCAGTAAATAGGTACCTGGGTGTTAGTCAGCTGTCACGGGCTGCTTCCTGGGGGTGGAGGCCTGGTCGAGGACCGGGCCGCGGGGACACTAAAGCCCCGAAATCATCTCAAGATAACCTCAAGATAACCACAAGTACGAGTGATTAGGGAATATCGGTGAAGGGCGGTAAGCTGCTAGTTCAAAAGAGAAGAAACAAAAGTGGCACTCAAGTGCTGAGCGTGTCAAGGGAGCAACTCGAGGCCCCTCGCCACGTCAAGTGTGATCCAGGAACGTCTGCAGGTGCCAACTGTCGTAACTGCATCCCAGACGTCTTGAGTCCAGGTGAGATGGGGCGTGAGGAGATGAGGCGGGAGGAGATGGGGCGTGAGGAGATGAGGCGGGAGGAGATGCGAGAGAGGGGATGGTATGGTGTGTGTGTGGGGAGGGGATAGAGGTGGGGGAGGCCAGGACAAGGCTGGGCACGTCAGGAACGGTCAACCAGGAGCGCCAGCCAAGTCTAGCCAACCATGTGTTTCTAATGTCCGCTGCTCACCACCTGATCACATGCACTTATTTTTTACCTTCCCGATACACTAGTGAAATATATCCGTGTTGTAGTTCTGAGTTACAGGCAGCAGACTGACCAGGATAGTCTAGTAAGGTTGGTCTATCCTTCTATGAATACCTTGGCCATAGTAAAATTACTATGGATAGCTACCCTGGCTAGGATAGACTAGAACGGGTACCTTGCCTGGGATGACTAGTATCCATACGCTAGGCCGGAGTAGGAGGATATTAATCCAAACCACTTATTTAAAAAGTGCAAGGTAATATATACAAGGGGCAACAGCTTCAAGCTCAACAAGCCACAATATAGGGCATAATACAGCAAGTGCTTCTTCACCCATACGGCTATAAACCCCTGGAACCGCCTACCCGCCCAAGTCGTAATGGCCAAGACATTACTGAACTTCAAAATCCGGTTGGAAATAATTATCTTGGGAAATGGCGGGGACCTTGACAAGCCGCCGGCTTTGTGACCCCAGCCACTTTACTGGACAGTCTCGCTTCATGCAGGTCCGCGTTAAATCTCCCCGACCGTCCAAGTGGTTGGGCACCATTTCTTTCCCCCGTCCCATCCCAAATCCTTATCCTGATCCAGTCCCCGTGTTATAAAGTCGTAATAGCTTGGCGCTTTCCCCTGATAATTACAAAACTATTATTCGTGACCCCGTCTAGGGTACTAGATAGATGGCGGCCTGCAGCTAAATTCAGGTAAAAATCTCGTCGATCTATCCTGTCCGAGTCGATTTCTCGGGCAGGACAGAAATGGCCGAGTACGTTTATTTTTACCTAATGCTTCTATTAACCTAGCAGTAAATAGGTACCCAGGAGTTAGGCAAGTGTTATGGGGTTGCATCCTGGGAAGGTCCGTAATTCGACCTTGTGGGACCTGGATACAATCGAAGTGTATACAAGGAGCTATATACTGAGGCCAACATTGACTAGTGTGGATACTGTGGCGAGGATAGAATAGTACAGTTACCCTGGCTGAGAGCGGTGTCCTGGCGCCGGGAGTGACTTAAGTTGTAAGAAATCAAGTAAGTAAGTGACTTAAATTGTGAGTAATCAAGTTGTAAATGTAATGAATGTAAGATCTCTAAGTAAGCACTTTGATGATGTTAGTGCCCTGACTCAAACAGTTAACAACAAATTTTCTTTTGTTGTGCTTACTGAAACGTGATAAAAAGAGGATACTACATAATTCTACAACATACCAAACTACTCAGCAATTCACAACTATCGTCCTATTCAAAGAGGTGGTGGTACTGCTCTTTACTACCACCAAGAACTGACATGCTTAAAAGTAATTAAAACTAGAGACCCCTCCACCATCAAGGTTTCAGTCAGAAACCTTGTTTCCGAGTTTTTAACTGTTTACATTATTTATATAATTTTACTTACATTTTCAGAGTACAGTAATTGTTGACAGATCAAAGTCCAAAGTATTCTTGCCAATATAATGAGCTTCTTCCGTGTTCGACTTACGTAGTCCGCTGTAGACGATTCGTGCCGCACTTAACAAGTGCGGAATTTACATGTGATTTTTCGAGCAGAGGTTAATGCTCGGGGTTGACCAGAACAATTTAGGGAAGAGTCGCCCATGTTAGTGTGTGGAGGGCTGGCTGGTACTGGTGGCGGGTCAGTGGCACGGGTTGCTCAGCAGCAGGCGTCCACGAGTAATGGTCTCCGCCTAATGTATTGTGCCTTAATCAGAGACGGAGAGCCCACGTGACGCTTTGTCACAGTTAATCTTGAGGGGACTGAAAGTTTATTGTGGTGTGGTGATCTCCGAGGTACAGATTGCTGTATCTTAATGCCCGCCTTGAAACTTGACCACCTGGCTAAAAAGAAAGCCTCTCTCTTGACAAGGTGGAAACAATGTCCTTTGTATCGTCCCTCTTTACGACTACCGCCTTTGAAATGTCAGACAGATCAGGATATTCTAAGTGTTTTACAATCTTGATTTAAAATAAAACACAAAATTAAACAGTGAAACGTTAAGTTTGGATGATGACTTAAGTAGCCCAAACCTTAGAGCAAATCTGAAGCGCTTCAAATATTTACTTAACATTTTTACGCATATATTTAGAGGGAACTAAAAAATATTATGTTTTAGGAATTTTTTTCAATTAGCCCTTATAGCTAAAATAACCATTTACTGGCACACTAATGATTTTCTAAAGCAGTTTGTATTAGGGGTGGTGTAGGTGGTGGGGGTGGTGGAGGTGTAGATGGTGGGGGTGGTGTAGGTGGTGGAGGTGGTGTAGATGGTGGGGGTGGTGTAGATGGTGGGGGTGGTGTAGGTGGTGGAGGTGGTGTAGATGGTGGGGGTGGTGTAGATGGTGGGGGTGGTGGAGGTGGTGTGGAACAAGCACAGGCCGGGATATACCACCACAGCCAGCGCCTGGCCTCAGCCTCAGAGCGGACCACCACTCCAGGCAGGACTGGGTGGGATTCACGACCGCTAAAAGTAGCCGGAACAGACACGTCTGCCACGGGTTTAGACCTGCAGGCGCGACGAGAGGTTCAGGTGGGGTGGTGGGGGGGGGGGGGAGGGAGGGTTTGTGGGGGGGTTGGGTGGGGGGGTTGGGGGAGGGAGGGTTTGTGGGGGGGGTGGTGGTGGTGGTGTGGTGGTGGTAGGAGTTGAAGGGAGAAGTGTGGAGTTAGTATGTGTGGTGTGGAGGTGGTGAGGGTAGTTGTGGTAATGATGCAGGTAGTTGTGGTGATAATGCAGGTAGTTGAGGTGACGTCATTGTGACGTCACACAACTTGTGCTCACCATTTAAAAAACAATAATTTTTATCTTATTTACTTTAGATTAGGTTTGGTCAGGTTAGGATAGGATAGATTAGGTTAAGTTGGTTTGGCTGGTTTAGGTTGGTTTATGTTGGGTTGGATTTGGTTGGTTTAATGAATAGCGACGATGTAGAGCTGACACATACTGTTATCAAGTGGTCTATAGAGGAAGTGTTGGACACAACTATGTGTCCAACACTTGTCATCCACACACTCATCAAGTCCAGAGTGTGTCCAGATGGAAGACACCGTCCCAGACACGCACAAACCATCAACTTCACAATCTATATACAGTTATGGTAGTGGACAAATACAATAACTAGAGCCAAAACCAACTGGGGAAGACTAAGAGTGACCATCTTGTCAGTGTGGCGGGAGCGTCACCCGGCCGCTCTCTGACGCCAGCCACTCCTAATCTTCCTCAGCAGTAAAACCCGGGATTTGGCTGCGATAGTCAACGCAAGTGCGGCCTCATTCTTACTGTCTGACCCAGACCACGAATTGATGCACGAACTTGGCCAAGAACTGGGTCCCGAAGTAGGGCACGAACTTGGCACGGAATTAGGGCACGAACTTGGCCGCGAACTGGGTCCCGAAGTAGGGCACGAACTTGGCACGGAATTAGGGCACGAACTTGGCCGCGAACTGGGTCCCGAATTAGGGCACGAACTTGGCAAGGAATTAGGGCACGAATTTGGCAAGGAATTAGGGCACGAACTTGGCAAGGAATTAGGGCACGTACTTGGCCGCGAACTGGGTCCCGAAGTAGGGCACGAACTTGGCAAGGAATTAGGGCACGAACTTGGCAAGGAATTAGGGCACGAACTAGGTAACAATCTGGAGCCCGAACTGGGCCAAGAAATAAGCAACAAAGTGGAACATGTATGTAATGGGCTGCGAACTAGACAACGGAATGGGACAAACAGGGGTATGAACTGTGGTCCCAAGTTGACACCGAACTGAGCCACTGTGTAGTGGTCTGAAGGAGAGGCCGTGGTGGTCTGGAGTTACGGAAGAGGTCGGGGCTGTTGCTCTTACAGCCGCTGTGTATAACTACTGACCTTCATGAGGCTTGTGAGCCTTCATGAGGCTTGTGAGCCTTCGTGAGGCTTGTGAGCCTTCGTGAGGCTTGTGAGCCTTCATGAGGCTTGTGAGCCTTCGTGAGGCTTGTGAGCCTTCGTGAGGCTTGTGAGCCTTCGTGAGGCTTGTGAGCCTTCGTGAGGCTTGTGAGCCTTCGTGAGGCTTGTGAGCCTTCGTGAGGCTTGTGAGCCTTCCTGAGGCTTGTGAGCCTTCCTGAGGCTTGTGAGCCTTCGTGAGGCTTGTGAGCCTTCGTGAGGCTTGTGAGCCTTCGTGAGGCTTGTGAGCCTTCATGAGGCTTGTGAGCCTTCGTGAGGCTTGTGAGCCTTCGTGAGGCTTGTGAGCCTTCGTGAGGCTTGTGAGCCTTCGTGAGGCTTGTGAGCTTTCGTGAGGCTTGTGAGCCTTCGTGAGGCTTGTGAGCCTTCATGAGGCTTGTGAGCCTTCATGAGGCTTGTGAGCCTTCATGAGGCTTGTGAGCCTTCATGAGGCTTGTGAGCCTTCATGAGGCTTGTGAGCCTTCATGAGGCTTGTGAGCCTTCATGACATGGCCCCCACCGTCACGTTGACTGAGGCAGCCACGGTGGGTCAACTTACTGCCACAGTCAACGTGACGGTGGCTGCCTCAGTCAACGTGACGGTGGCTGCCACAGTCAACGTGACGGTGGCTGCCACAGTCAACGTGACGGTGGCTGCCACAGTCAACGTGACGGTGGCTGCCACATTCAACGTGACGGTGGCTGCCACAGTCAACGTGACGGTGGCTGCTTCAGTCAACGTGACGGTGGCTGCTTCAGTCAACGTGACGGTGGCTGCCACAGTCAACGTGACGGTGGCTGCCTCAGTCAACGTGACGGTGGCTGCCACAGTCAACGTGACGGTGGCTGCCTCAGTCAACGTGACGGTGGCTGCCACAGTCAACGTGACGGTGGCTGCCACAGTCAACGTGACGGTGGCTGCCACAGTCAACGTGACGGTGGCTGCCTCAGTCAACGTGACGGTGGCTGCCTCAGTCAACGTGACGGTGGCTGCCTCAGTCAACGTGACGGTGGCTGCCTCAGTCAACGTGACGGTGGCTGCCTCAGTCAACGTGACGGTGGCTGCCTGCGGCACCAGGGAGGTTCAGGACAAGGGACTCTATACTCCTGCCAGCGTCACAACTGCATCATGAGCGCCGTAAAAGGAATGTTTTTAATTTTGCCCCAAAGGGCGAGTTTACTGGGCAGCGTCACTCATCTTACGACATAACATACCGCCATAGTGACAGTATTGGGCAGCGCCACTCATCCTGTGAGTGAATATACAGCCATAGCAGCATGTACAACATTCTCAATAGGAAGAAAACTGGCTGGGTTGTTCATCCTGTCTCTTGTACAGGATGTACCCAGTTGGGACTTGCTTAACTGTCTCGAGTGAACAGTTTATCAAATAAAGGAATTAACATCTTGCGGATGCAAAATCGGAGAATCTTAACTTTATCTATATTTGACAAGTAGTGTTTATCTATCTCTAACACTGTACCATTTAGTATAGTAAATCTATTTCTAATGTCTTAAGTGGGCCCAGTCTGCCCCCCCCCCTCCCCGTCCCATTCCAAATACTTATCCTGACCCCTTCCAAGTGCTAGCCGGTCGGCCGAGCGGACAGCACACTGGTCTTGCGATCCTGTGGTCCTGTGTTCGATCCCAGGCGCCGGCGAGACACAATGGGCAGAGTTTCTTTCACCCTATGCCCCTGTTACCTAGCAGTAAAATAGGTACCTGGGTGTTAGTCAGCTGTCACGGGCTGCTTCCTGGGGGTGGAGGCCTGGTCGAGGACCGGGCCGCGGGGACACTAAAGCCCCGAAATCATCTCAAGATAACCTGCTATATAGCCGTAATGGCTTGACGCTTAACCCTGATAGTTCCCTTCGCGAGCAGTGGTGTCAGTGTACTGTTTAACTGATTAGTTCTTCTACCCTTTTTCACTTTCCTTGTCGTGATGTTGCCTGATGATATTTCTGATTAGTTGAAAGGTCTTGGAAATGAGTTATTCAATACAGCCTTCTTGAGCAGCCTCGGCAGACAAGATAATGACCCAACTACACATCAGATAAGGAAGGAGCGAGGCTGCTTCAGTCCGTCTTGGGTCATTACCAAGTACTCTTCCCTTGATTTGTTAGTATTTTCACAGTTCTCTTGGTTCTCAGCGGTCTCGCTAATTGCTGCCTGTCTGTGTCACCGACTTTGTAGTGAGGGTGTTGAGTGCGTGCAGAGTAGTGGCACGCGAGTGCACTCCCCTTTGGGGGTATCTTAATTAATGAGATGAGTGTGGTAGTGCGTGTGCTCATGCTCAGGCAGCCTGGGTCTCTCTCACTTTTGAATGTTCGTATTAAAATACGTAATTCTCATTTCAGCGTTCATACAGCACCATAATACACTGTCAGTGTCAGCGTTCATACAGCACCATAATACACTGTCAGTGTCAGCGTTCATACAGCACCATAATACACTGTCAGTGTTCGAGCCATCAATGTCATAATAAAATGCCACATATAAGGTACAGACATTATCACAGTATAGCGTCAAGTTCGAGCTTGAAACACGGCGCAGTGTGAGGTTTACACTGTAACACAGACGGCGTACTGTGAGGTTTACACTGTAACACAGACGGCGCAGTGTGAAGGTTTACACTAACACAAACGGCGCAGTGTGAGAGTTTACAGTGTAACGACACAGTGTGGCGAGGAGCTTCATACAGTGGCACGATACAGTATAGTGGGCGCCACATAGTGCTACACAACAAAGTCTTTTCAGGGTCGCTACCCACCATCCAATGTTTAGTAAAAGTATCCGTAGAGAGCTCAGCCAAGTATCTCTGACACTCCGGGATGACGCTTGGTGGCGGGCCAAGACCTCGAGCAAGACGAGGAGGACCATGCTCTGCCTCACTCTCTTTAGTCCTCCCCCTCTGCCTCTTTCCTCTCATTATTGTCACTATCACCTTCTCCTTGTATCCCCCTCGTCATCACCATCACCGTTACCACCATCATCATAATGTGCGATAATATCACGAAGAACTGTGTGCTCTTAAGAAATCAAGACCCTCTGGACCTGATTAGTTGGAGAGGACCCCTCCGGACCTGATTAGTTGGAGAGGACCCTCTGGACCTGATTAGTTGGAGAGGACCCTCTGGACCTGATTAGTTGGAGAGGACCCCTCCGGACCTGATTAGTTGGAGAGGACCCTCTGGACCTGATTAGTTGGAGAGGACCCTCTGGACCTGATTAGTTGGAGAGGACCCTCCGGACCTGATTAGTTGGAGAGGACCCTCTGGACCTGATTAGTTGGAGAGGACCCTCTGGACCTGATTAGTTGGAGAGGACCCTCTGGACCTGATTAGTTGGAGAGGACCCTCCGGACCTGATTAGTTGGAGAGGACCCTCTGGACCTGATTAGTTGGAGAGGACCCTCTGGACCTGATTAGTTGGAGAGGACCCTCCGGACCTGATTAGTTGGAGAGGACCCCTCCGGACCTGATTAGTTGGAGAGGACCCTCTGGACCTGATTAGTTGAAGAGGACCCTCTGGACCTGATTAGTTGGAGAGGACCCCTCCGGACCTGATTAGTTGGAGAGGACCCTCTGGACCTGATTAGTTGAAGAGGACCCTCTGGACCTGATTAGTTGGAGAGGACCCCTCCGGACCTGATTAGTTGGAGAGGACCCTCTGGACCTGATTAGTTGGAGAGGACCCTCTGGACCTGATTAGTTGGAGAGGACCCTCCGGACCTGATTAGTTGGAGAGGACCCCTCCGGACCTGATTAGTTGGAGAGGACCCTCTGGACCTGATTAGTTGAAGAGGACCCTCTGGACCTGATTAGTTGGAGAGGACCCCTCCGGACCTGATTAGTTGGAGAGGACCCTCTGGACCTGATTAGTTGAAGAGGACCCTTTGGACCTGATTAGTTGGAGAGGACCCCTCCGGACCTGATTAGTTGGAGAGGACTGGATATCAGGCAGTCATTTGAACTTTTTATTTTGTGGATGGCTTCTCTATTTGGCTGGAGACTTTCTGTGTGGTACCGGGGCGGAGATATAGCAAAAGAGGATCATGAGAGTTGCAGAAGCACTGAACGGTTGAACTGAGATACAACTTGATCAAAAATGTGTTGATGAAGTGTGTCACGAAGTGGACGACAGTCGTTTTGGTGGGAGGAAGTGTGCAGACATCGGAGAGTCCTTCACTATACCGACCACAACAATTATCACCACCACACGTCGCAAGGATAGCAACATTATGTACCAAAAGCAGCACTATGCAAGGAACACCGCCAAAGAGACTTTTAACTTTGTGATGTTACCCACGCTTGAGTGACACTCATGTGGTGAGGAAACAGTTGAGAGAGCGAGGAGTGAGGAGGAGGTGCGGCGGGCAAGTGTTGGTCTTCACGGGGCGTCAACTTGTGTCACCACACACATTACTGTCACGTGTTGAGCTCACATTCACACTAGGCTGTGTGTGTGGGCCTTTATGGATATTTTGTATACCCCTCAAGTAATTTCGAGTATAGCGCCAAGGCATTTCGACTATATAGCACTGGGAAGGGGTCAGGATAAGGATTTGGGATGGGACGGGGGGAAGGAATGGTGCCCAACCACTTGGACGGTCTGGGATTGAACGCCGACCTGCATGAAGCGAAACCATCGCTCTACCGTCCAGCCCAAGTGGTTGATAAGAAACTTATTGTGATATTTTAAGTAAAATTCCGTAGTATGTTTACTGATGTATGGTGCCGGTGCCGCCCGTTCTTGCCACCGTTCACGACGTCAATAAAGTGCGGTAATAAAGTGTGGAAATAAAGTGTGGTAATAAAGTGTGGAAATAGAGTGTGGAAATAAAGTGTGGAA